GCTGACCTGCGCCCGAACGTAATTTCAAGGCATCACGCGAGGAAGCCCCACTAATGCTGCCGGCGGGCCTTGCGTAGCGATCGACGGCGCGCCCCGCCGTCTCGGGTGTTGCTCGTTTGTCGCGGCCTCGTCCAGGTCCGTCCGTGGTGGCAGTGGGACGGCACGTTATGGGCAGCTATTGGATCTTTCGAATTTCGGTTGAGATCGGGCGCCGGCCGCCGCGGCTGGACGCGCTGCGGCTGTTAAGGAAGGAGGACGCGGTGGTCGAAAGACGTGCTGGGCCTTGGCAACTCGCAACAGCAATTTACGGATGAAGGTGACTTTACTTTGACTGATGCGTCGTTGTCGAAATGGTCCTGAGGGAGCAGTTTTTCATTTTCGATGCAATGCACGAGACGTGTTTTGGCAACATAATCAAAAAAAAACAATTTTTCGCATAATGCCTGTTAAACTCGCTTGTTTTCTGAATGCAAGTGAAGCGAGCACTGAAACGAAAACTCCATATATGAACTTCACTTTGCCTCGGTGAATGTGGCTGGTCTGCGTTCTGTAGCGGCGAAGAATGTACCTGTCCAGGCCCGACCGACGCTGATGCTCAAAACAGTAATGCGGTCCGTTCATGCGTGATGCGGTGACTGCCATTTTTGGTCTCAACATCTTGTCGCAGGAATGTATAGGAGGCCAATATTATTTGTTTATCCAAACCGTCGTGACAGTGACATTTACTACGAAAGAGGTAAACTTCCCTAGCACGGAGGGTCGGCCTTTCAAGCTTTGTGGATGCGTTTCTTTCTAGAACTTTTCTGTTTTGTAAAAGTACTTTGGGCAGGGGCGAGGCTAGGGGCAGCTAGGGTGGGTCGTGGAAGCAGAGGCCCTGGAGGCTCGTGCGAGGCAGGACAGTTGGAACGGGTCGTGGAAGCAGAGCCACTGGAGGTTCGTACGAGGCCAGGGGACAGTTGGGGCGAGTCGTGGAGCAGAGGCCTTGGAGGCTCGTAAGAAGCAGGGGACAGTTGGGGCGAGTCGTGGAGGCAAAGGCCTGGGACCCGTGCGCCTCGCGATTGCCTCTCATGGCCTTGACCTTGGCCTGGCTGGGGTTCGGGGTACTCGTCTCGGTGAGCGCTGACCTCCCGACGCGGGGGTGTTGCCCTGGGATGCCGACTCAGCTGTGTTGTACCGGCCCACTGGAATCGGCTCAGTGTTAAAGCTCGTCTGTACTGTTGCTATGCATGGTCTGCTTGCTTAATGGCATGCTGTTTTTCGCTCAGTGTGTGGGCTTTTTCGACTGCAGTGAAGCCACTACGCTGGTTAAGGCGCCTCGTGAGAACGGCGCCGGGCTGCGCGGACGCCACTTCCTCCGCTGGTGTGCCTGGTTATGTTCAGTTTCGCCGACACCCCAACGACCGCCAGTCCCCTTCTGCCTTACTCGGCCTGTGTTAAGGTGCCGTGCCTGGCGGCCGCCATCGTGCCGGACCGTGGTTTTGGCCGCACAAGGGCAGATGCCGCGCAAACAGGGTATATAGGCAGCGCTACAGGTGCGCAGTGCCCCGGACGCGACAACCAGGCCAACGGGGTCCGATCGTGGGGTCCGATCGTGCGCTTGTAGCGGACGCCGCTGTCATGTGTTATGCAGCTGGCGAGCGGACTGATAGGGTAGCAGTGCAGGGCGGCGCTGACGCTGACCGGCGCCACCGACAGAGAGGCCACTGACGCCGGTGGGGATGCTGGTCCCGAGCGGACCGGTCCCGTCTCGCGCAGACCGGCGCATGCCGCGGACCGGCGTAGACCGGCGAGGACCGCGCGGACCGAGGGGACCGTGCGAACTGTGTGGACCGGCGCGGACCGGCGCAGACCGGCGCAGACCGGTGTGGACCGGCGTAGACCGGCGCGGACCGTACCCCGCGCTCGCTTGTCATCGGCGATGGCAGCGGCCGCGACCGGCACCCGCCACAGCAATGCCCGGGAAAGGCCGGCCGGCCGGTCGGAGACCCCCTCGTGCGGAGCCTCGCCAACGCGCCGATGTTCTCGGGAGGGCCAGACGGGTGGGGGTAATGGCTCTTCTGTATCGAGTAGCCACCGAGACCGCTGAGCACCCGAAACACTCTGCTAAGTGCTCCTAGTGGGAAGAGCCGCGCAGCTGAGATGCTATCCCGGTCATTTGTCCATATCTCCAGACAAGCACACAGAAAGCCTTTCTCGTGTGGCTCGCCACAGCTTACTATCGAACGAAGGACCCTCTGAGGAATTCGGAGGTTTACTCGCTGTCTGGCAGGTGTCTGGAGACGTCCGCTCCATGAATGCATGCATGAAGAGCGATAACGTCACTCATGTTGGCTTCGTCACGATAAAAATCACTGGCGTCCTGTGTTTTTTTTTCTTTAATTTGTTGTAGACCAAAGGCGTTCGTCACTGCTGTTGATACGCGCCTGGGCGGCCGGTTAAATGCGCCTCGCTGGGATGGGGGTGGGGTCAACTTGCCCGCTCTAAGATCTCAAAAACCAGGAGTGGATACGTCATATTCACGGGGCAAGTACGGCTCTATGTGAACTCACTTGTGCCAAACTTTGAAGTTTCTAGGTTGTGACATTCGTGTCAAGCAAGGTCAAACTCTTGATAGGCACCTGAAGTTCCTTTCTATGTCCTTACGTAACCAGCTTTAATCTAGATATCACGTATAAGCAAATGTCATTGATGCTTAAGTCATCGTTCTTGCTTGACCTTACGAAATTGAAATGACAAAACCCCTTCGGGATTGTTTAGATGTTTGAATTTACAATCGGCACCAAATACAACTATAGACGGGATGCTGCTAAAATTAAAAAGGTTGAGTCCATTTCAGGTCATTGACTCCGTTGACTTTCATGAAGTCAAAATAAGAAATTATTTTGACGTTGTGGTCCAGGAATTCGAAAGGAGCGCCACAAGTACCTCTCAAGCAAGTTTTCCAGTAACAATGCGGTTTGGTTTTGACCTTGATCTTTGGTTCGGCTGCGCCGCGGCGTTCGGATGTTATTGCAGAAAAAAACCCGGGGGGTGAAGTGTTGACCCCTACCCGAGTGCATGTTAGCAGTGAGGACCTGCTGTCCCAGTTGAAAGTGATAAACGTGTCGGCAGTGAGGTCTCTTGTTGTTTCAATGTGGAGACTACGTCCAGAAGCACTGTTAAACATGTATCTGTTGTCACCGCATGCAACGGTAATTGACAGTGATCGTTCACTCAGCGTCATCCCATTGTTCCCCTGTTTCGGCGACATACGGTGGCGTGGTTACCGCTGAAGCCCCCGCTGTCCGCAAGCAGGGACAGCAGACGGTTGTTGGCACAGTCATAGTGTTTGGCTGCGCTGTTTGCGCGTCAAGGCGACAGACCACAGTCTGGGCAGCATCGAAGCTCGGCCATTGCCCCACCCAGTCAGGGCAGTGGACAGCTGTGCTGTTACCACCCAAGCCACCCGACCACCGAGCTCTCCGTTGTCGCCAATGACGGCGGCGCATTGTGGCCAGTTGCTCACGCTGAGCGCCTTTTCTGTGTCCAGGTGCGGGCGACGGACGGCGGCAAGCCGGTGCGCTCGTCGGTGGCGCGGGTGCTGCTCACCGTGCTGGAGGAGGGGCCGCCGCCGCCCCACCCGCCCGGGTGGACCTGCCTGAACGGGCCGTCCAGGTGTTCGAGACGGACCCGGTCGGTCACCTCGTCATCCTGGCCACTGCCAACGCCACGCTGCTCTTCAGTATTGCAGGTGAGGGTCAGAACTTTTGGGCCGTGGTCTCCTGCGTGTCCTCTCAATACGTCATGCCAGCCACCGCCAACGCCACGCTGCTCTCCAGTATGCTCGCGAGGGGGAGGGACCGGACTCCGTGTATACATGCACTTACCTCTTTCCGTGCCGCAATCCGTGTACATGCACGAAGGTTGGACTAAGGCATTGGAGGGATGTGCGTGATGATTCACAATGATGCATGGTATGCAGACACATGCCCTGGAGTGTTGCACCTACGAGCCATTGGCGTGCTTATGGTACGCCGAAGCACGCCGGGCCGCCTCACGTCCGATGCGAACGGAAAATGGCAGCAAACAAAACTGAGGCCGCATGCCGCCGGAGAATATGTCAGCCGGCGGCGGAAGTTCCGAACACTGGCTGGACTGAAATATGCAGGACCCGTGGCCATGTCGCGCCCGGCCAGGTACCCTGCCGAGGGGCGTATTTGTGCCGCCTGCAAAGGTCAGCCAAATCGTTCGAAGCACCCGGAGTTTATGAGCAGCTGCAAGTGTCTGACCCTCGCGGAATAATTCAAACGATGGCCCTCCAGTCCCCCACCACGCCAAGTTTTCGGTCGATCCGGTGAGTGCGTTCTGACATACGCGCTTCGCTTCGTGGCTTGCCGGACCGGTGTAGCGTTTAGCGTATGTAATTTTTTCTTTTGTGCCGCGAGGTTCCTTATTTCTGCCACCTGCCTTTGACTCTTCACGCCCGGTTGCCCCACCCTCCCCCCTCTTCCCACCGGTAATCTATCGAGAGTAAAGGCTGTCGCGCCGCGAGTGCCGGCCGTATTAGCCTGATGGCGTCTGGACGCGGAGCAGCGCTCGCCCCAGTTGGAGCGAAGTCCCGTGCCGGCGCCGGCGAGGGCCATTGCACCGCGCTCCCATCACGCGTTCGGCCGGAGTGCAGCTGTGCCGAAGGGCTGTGGCGGAGCCGATGCTGCCGAGTGGCGCGCTCCCGCTGCTGCGTAATGGATTGGTCTGCTGAGGCGCGGTCCCGTCTTGAGATGTGCGCTTCTGGGTACACGCGGTATGATCGAGCGGCCAGTGAGCCGTGCAATGGACAGGGTGAGTGGCGTTCAGTTCGAGCCGATTATGTTCATTGCTCACCGAGGCGTGCGCGGGGCAATGCTGACTAAAATACGGCCGCTGTGGATTCAGACTTGCAACCGTCCTGGCTATAGATGGAACTACGTGACTCGAATGCAGAATCGGTGCTCAGTGCCGTTACAAACGCAATGCCTGCGGCATTGGTTTTTAGGCACCGCGGTAACCGAGGTGTTCTTTACACGCGATAGCTAAATGTGCCATGGTAATAAGTCCGCCTTGAAATGCGTGTGCCTGTCGATCCATATTAACGGGCGGGTCGTCTGTATCCGCCGTGTGTCCGTTCCCGGTCCAATCGGTCATGATTCCGACAGAGGCATAACAACAGATTTGCGCCCATTCTTAAATCCCCACAAAATGGGTAGAGATGCTATACGAGAAAGTTGTTTTCATATTCTTAAGCAGCCTTTTCTGCATCTCTCGGACGATTTTAACGACCAGGACTGAAAATGGCCCGCGGTTATAGCTTGCATGACTGACATGCATGGACTATTATAGCATTACCAGTCAAATGGCTGCGGTGTGCACTTCGGCACGTTAGGTCAGTTTTAGAGCATTCGATGTGCATCACGAGCAGGTGGTGGCATTCCCTGTGATTCGGGAATGGGTCCACACATTTATTCTGCCGAGGGACTGGCATTCTCCGACATGCTGGCAGGAGAGAATAACTGATGACCATTTGTTACGTCTGTATCGGGGAACTGCTCCCATGTCACGGGATTGATCCCAGGCCGGTGATGTACGCCCAATCGCGGTGCATGTGGTATTCCTTCCCCGGTGGGATTCAAGCCATTTCTGCCGCAGGCGGCAACACCGGAGGCAGCTTCAGCGTCAACAGCCAGGGCGGCATCGTGATCGCCCGCCCGCTGGACTGGGAGACAACGGCCGAGTACACGCTGAACGTCTCCGCCACGGACGGACACCACGTGGTCTTCACGCCGGGTAGGTGCCGCGAGGACCACAGCCCGAACACCTCCGTCGCAGTCTACACCTCTCCGCGCAGCTCCGGGCGCTCCCCTCACCACCGCCGCCAGCGCAGTCCACCTCCGTCGCAGTCTACACCTCTCCGCGCAGCTCCGGGCGCTCCCTCACCACCGCCGCCAGCGCAGTCCACCTCCGTCGCAGTCTACACCTCTCCGCGCTGCTCCGGGCTCTCCCTCACACAACCGCCGCCAGAGTGCGGCCGGTACGCCCGCGAATGGGTTTCCATCTGAGGGGCGCGGGTTGTCCGGGTGCGGCGGCCGCGAGCCGCCGGCTGTCTCCAGCAGTCGGCCCTCGGCCACCGCCTGCTCAGGTATCGACGCCCGTGCTGGGTCCGGCGACAGCGTGCGACGCGCGTTTTTGTGGGCCCTCGGGGAAGAATAACGCGCCGTTAGAGCCGGCACGGTCGGCGGTGGGCCGTAATGACCGACTGGCGTGGTCATTAATTGCCTTGTCGGAATTTGTGTTCGAAGGGTCATCTGCGCCAACATCCGGCGCCGACCAGAGCCTGTTGGCAATGCGGAGGTTGTGGGCGCGTGTGCCACTGTTCTGAAGCCTTCCTCGAGGCGAGCTGCTCCGCCGCGTCCCGTTTTGGCGTGCGCTGTCGGCATGGCTGCGGCTGTGTTGGGCTCCTGCTGTTGCCGACGACTGGTGCGACGGTGTTGTTGGTCTGCCCGGTCTTCGTAAACGTTACGCGAGATACATGTTTCCATTGAAGTCACCAGGGCAGTAATCTTTCCCTCCGGTGATTGCAATGCCGTCTGTACAAGACGGCTGACAGGGCGTGTGCTCCTGACGTCACATATTTCCAACGAGCGTCGCGCACCGCCAGCTGTGTCAAGTACTTGTCCACAAAAGTGCACGGGGGGGGGGGGGGGAGAGGTAGCTTGGGAGAACAAATTATGAGAACAACTGTCGTCAGTTGATTCAGCCTTGTTGGCGGTGCTCCACGAGACGGCAGTGGTCTCCGCGCGGGTGCGAACCGCTGGCTGGTGTCCGCATCTGCTGACGGACGGGGGCTCATTTCGCCGCAACACCGGTCGTTCTCAAATGTCGACGCCACAAAGAGGTCTCTTGCCTGCTACAGGGCGTGATGAAACGACTGTGTTCGCGTCCCGCGGGGCGGGCGCCGCGGACTCGGGTATTTCTGTCGGGGTGGATTGTTTGCCGGTGCGGCTGACTCCGCGAGATTCCGGAGCTCCCGCCCACTCCGCTCTTAGCAAATGACCCGTCCCTTGCTGCAGGGCCGTCCGGACCAAGGAAGGGCGTATTCGTCTTCTTATTGGTCTTTCTCTGTCGAGCGGCCGGCCGGCGACACGCTGCTTGATCTCTGCCCCCCCCCCCCCCCCCATCGGCAAGGGATTATTGCGCACCGCTGCTCAGGCACTCCTATATTGCCCTGAGTTGGCCGGTGTCGAGCCTACCACTGCTCGCGTCACTGGCTCCCTCCCGTGGCATCATGTTAACTACGAGCGTTTGGTGATCGCCCAGCCGTGCACTGTGTGCCGTCCCACACTGTGTTAAAATTGACTAAAGCTGTAACACGATTCCATTCAGTTTTCTAGGGCCTGTGTTATGCGTCCCGATGTTGTGCACGTCTCACGATATCTTTGTCATGCCTGCTCGTCCGCCGCCAGCTGCGGATCACAGTCTCAGTGCGTGTCTCACGGTGTGTTCGCCATGCCCGCCGCCAGCTGCGGATCACAGTCCTCAGTGCATGTCTCACGGTGTGTTCACCGTGTCCGCCGCCAGCTGCGGATCACAGTCTCGGTGCGTGTCTCACGGTGTGTTCACCGTGTCCGCCGCCAGCTGCGGATCACAGTCTCGGTGCGTGTCTCACGGTGTGTTCACCGTGTCCGCCGCCAGCTGCGGATCACAGTGCTGGACGTGAACGACCGGGATCCGGCCGTTCGAGCGCGCCCTGTACGCCGTGAACGTGTCGGAGGCGGCCGAGCCGGGTGACCGGCTACTGACAGTGAGCGCCGTCGACCCGGACGGCGAGGCGCTGCTCTACTACGGACTGGAGGCGGCGCAGAGCGACCGCTCTCTCCGTCTGTTCAGCATCGACCCCATGACCGGCCAGGTCACCGTGGCCGGACGACTGGACAGGTGAGGTGATCGATTGGGTCAGTCAGGTCACCATCGCCTGGAGATTGGGCAGTTAGATTCATCTATTTGGTCAGTTAAGCTGTTAGTTCAGTTGGCTGTTACGTTCATTTCGGAAGCAGATTGTTTAATGAACATGAGCCGTTAGAAATAGCAGCGCTTTCGTTGTTTGTTGCCTTTCGAGATGTTCTTTCGATCCCTCGGATTAAGTGGATCGAGAAGCCAGCAGGTGCCAGCTTCTCCAGATTGCGGATCTAACTGTTCTCAACAGACGCAGCCCAGAATGTCAGCGCTTGATCCGCGAGATCAAAAGAACATTTCGGAAGATTTATTGATCAGTCTAACGGTTTGCTGCCCGCCCGCGGCGCGCGCGTGTGCGTGCGTGCGTGCGTGCGTGTGTGTGTGTGTGCGTGCGTGCGTGCGTGCTGTCCACATACTCCGTCGCTCAGTCTCTGTTCCTTTATGATGTGTCGTGCTCAGGTGGTGAGTGCTGACCCCTGACCGATGCCGCCGTTGGCTGGGGTCCAGGGCGCGGGACGAGACCCTGGACGGGGCTTGATTTTGCCTGAGGCCGGCTCTGTCGCGTGCCCGGCCGGTGCCGCCGGTGGCCGAGATCCAGGGCCGCGGGACGAGGCCCTGGGCGGGGCTTGGTGTCGCCCGAGGCAGGCTCGGACGCGGGCTCCTCCATGTGTGTTCTGCAGGCCTCTCGGCCGCACGCGGCCTGATTTCCAAAGTCCCGCCTGGTCGCCGCTGTCACTGTCGCCATTGCCAGTTCTCAGCCCACAAGGGAGGGCCTGGCCTTATGACCGGCTGACACTGACGTAGTTGGGCGGGGCTGTGCGCCGTCCGCACCGAATGGCATGTCCGCGCTGCGCATCGCTGCCGTTGTAGCGATGCAGCAACCAGCGGTCCGCGGGTGGTGACATTAGCTGAAAACTGGAGTGTACGGTGCAGACTGAGCATTGGCGTTGCATAAACTCAGACGTCGATGTACCCAACCCCACAAAATTAAACCAGCATCGACGTAAAGCCGGCTTGGGGCAGGAGGTGCCGTCGCTCCGTGTACCAAAGCCACAGCGTGAGTGGTGACGGGACGCCTCGGTATCGACCTGGTGCCGGACGTCACCGGCAGAGGCCGTGGCCCCGGTCAATTTGAGTCGGCTATGACAGGGCGGCCCGAGTGGTCGATGCGACTGTGAACGCTAATTATCAGTCTGCTCATCGACACGCAAAAGGCCAGTCGAGGCCGGCGGGCTGGCGCGTGCGCGGCACGACGTGAGCGTCTGGAGCACATGAGAGTGGGCGGCGCGCCGTCTGGCCCGCCGTCTGGCCCTCGCGAGCATCGGCCGCGCCGGCCGGCGCTCGTACCCACACGGGGCTCGGCGAGAGACCGTGACATTAGGCGTGATTGCCCTGGAAGGACGGGTCCCGCCAGATAGGCGGCTATAACAGGCCCGGTCTGTCGATGTGTCGAGGTCGGGGCTTGGCTCGTTTTATCAGCTGACGCGGACTGGCGGCGCCACTCAGCTCACGTGGTCAGGTCGGACGAGGCGCTGTTTTTCGTCTCGGTTCCGAGCGTCATTTGGCAATATGGACAATGTCTCCGTTACTGGCTCGTCTCAGGCTGTGTCTTTGTCATCAGCAGATCTCGTACTGTATTGTTCGTTAATGTTTGACGGCTGTATCGTATATGTCTTCTCTAGTTGTCCGATCTTCCAACGGGACACCCAATTTTCGTATTTGCCCATGATGTGCCACTTTCCATCACCGTTTGCGAACAACTGAACTCCTGGTGGCACATCCGCCTCCTCCTCTGTCCTCTCGCTGCCGGTCGGACAGGACAGCCGGCAACACAGCCGCCTCCTCAGTTCGTCCTCTCGCCGCTCGTCTGCCTAGACAGCGGCTAACACGTTCTCCCCCGTTCGGCCGCAGGAGACGGAGCACGAGCACGTGCTGACGGTGTCGGTGCGGGACCAGGGCACACCGGCGCGCCGCGACTACGCCCGCCTGCTGGTGCACGTGCGGGACGAGAACGACCACCGTCCGCAGTTCCTCAGCGACCTGGTGGTGGGCCAGGTGCACGAGACGGCGCCGGTCGGCTGGCAAGTGGTCACCGTGCTGGCCACCGACCGCGACCATGGCCAGAACGCCCGCATCACCTACTCCATACTGTCAGGTAGGCCACCCCGATGTGACGTCACGTCTGTTGTGGTCATCTACACCATGCTGTCAGGCACGACACCTCCGCACTGTCAGGTATGCCATGGTCACCCACTTCAGACCGTCAAATATGTCCGTTCATGCATTCCATATTGTAAGGTGTACCACCTCTGTAATGTCAGACATATGCCCTGCCCCTGTTTCGTGTTCTGTACCGTCAGATGTAACCGGGCGCTGCGTTATCTGTACGGTGAGACGGGCCGTGTTTATCCTTTTCGTATTGGTTCATACAGTTTGCATGGGAGCTATAGGTGTGCTTTCGAGTTCTCAGGATCGCAAATCTTTTTGGCGAAATCTCTTGTGACTTCATTTCGCACAAAGCCGGGCGCTTGGTCTGCGCCGACATTGTTCACGCCGGTCGACATTGTCACGGCCGTAGTCCCCAGAAGTGCTCTGGCCACTACCGTCCAGGCCGGCTCGCGACGGACCTCGTCCCGGCCAGGTGTGCTCGAGCCGAGCCTCGTGGCGCCGGGTCGGTCCACATCCACTCCGCGTCTCTCTTTGATGGAGCACGTGGCGTGATGAAACGACCGCAACGGTGGCCGGGCGCCGAACACACAGCTCAACAGCACGAGCCCTAGATGAGCTCCAGTCAGGCCCCAGACGGGCCCAACAGCACGAGCCCTAGACGAGCTCCAGACGGGCCCCAGACGAGGTCGCGTCGAGCCGCAGACGAGGCCTGGTCGAGCCCAAGAGGAGCCCCAGACGAGCGCAGACGAGTCCTAGACGAGGCCCAAACAAGCCCCAGACGAGCTGCAGATGTGCCACAAACGAGTTCCAGAGGGGCCCAGAGGAGCCCCTGACGGGCCGGGACGTCGACACCTGGCCAGGCAGCGCCGTGCGAGGCCGTTAAACGGCTATCCGATGGCACGAGCAAGGACGAGTCCCTGGCGAGCGAGGACGAGCCGGGAAGAGGGTGGGACGAGCTGCAGACTGACCCGGACGAGCGGCGGCGCCGCCTCGGTCGGGGCCGTTGCGGCGGCGTGACTGGCTCGTTGTGCGGCGGACAGCCGCCGCTCACGCCGCGCTCGCCGCTTTACGGCCGGCTTGGGCTCCGCCGCCGGCCCGGCCGGCCGGCGCCTGCTGCGCTGCTGACGGCCGTGAGCCGGCGGAGAGTGGATGGGGTCCGCCTGGCCGCTGTTCGTCCGGCGCAGCTGATTTGATGAGCGGAGTGGCAGGTGCGGCGGCGGTGGCGGCCGCTCGTTACGGCCAGCTGTTCGCGGCGACAGGTCGGGCGTGCAGGACGCCGGGCTGACAAAGACCGCTGGTTAAAGCCGCACTCGAGTGGAGTGCGGGTAGGTCAACGGTACATTCGACCTCACCGCCGATGTATCGGGCGCGACTGACGGCGGTCAGTCACTAGTCGCGGGCTTGGGATGCGGGATGCTCATGTGATAGGTCCGCAGGCGGGGTTCATCGGCGCTGTCTCCGTGAGTTTGTGTGCTAGGCAAAGTTTCGACACGCCCGCTGACACTGCAGCGACGTCACATCCGCGACGTGCACTGGCGTTCTGGCTACACTGACCCGGGATAGCGGTGACGGCCAGCAGCGCCGCGTCTGGTCGTGACAGGGCCGCCGGCGGGTCGCCGCTCCGCCCGCTGAGGCCGGTCTGCCCAGCCTCAGCCCGCCGCCCGGCATCGCTGCGGGGCTGGCGAAGAACCCGTTCGCCGGCGGCCGGGTGGCGTGCCTCCCCGACGCCGCCCGGAAGCCGTGCGGCCCCTGCGTGAGTCGGCCATCGATCCGCTGGTGTCCGTGGATGGCCCCCGGCGGCACCCGTGGCCTCGAAACAACCCCGAGCCAGCCCCCGGCGGCACTCGTGGCCTCGAGACACCCTGAGCCAGCTCCCGGCGGCACCCGCGACCACGCAACGCCCCTGAGCCAGCCCCCGGCGGCACTCGTGACCTCGCAACACTCGCGAGCCAGCCCCCGGCGGCACCTGCAGCCTCGCAACACCCCTGAGCCTGCCCCCGGCGGCACCCGTGGCCTCGAAACACCCCCGAGCCAGCCCCCGGCTGCACCCGTGGCCTAGAGACACCCCTGAGCCAGCCCCCGGCGGCACCCGTGGCCTCGAAACACCCCCGAGCCAGCCCCCGGCGGCACCCGTGGCCTCGAAACACCCCCGAGCCAGCCCCCGGCGGCACCCGTGGCCTCGAGACACCCCTGAGCCAGCTCCCGGCGGCACCCGTGGCCTCGAGACACCCCTGAGCCAGCCCCCGGCGGCACCCGTGGCCTCGAGACACCCCTGAGCCAGCTCCCGGCGGCACCCGCGACCACGCAACGCCCCTGAGCCAGCCCCCGGCGGCACTCGTGACCTCACAACACTCGCGAGCCAGCCCCCGGCGGCACCTGCAACCTCGCAACACCCCTGAGCCAGCCCCCGGCGGCACCCGTGGCCTCGAAACACCCCCGAGCCAGCCCCCGGCGGCACCCGTGGCCTCGAGACACCCCTGAGCCAGCTCCCGGCGGCACCCGCGACCACGCAACGCCCCTGAGCCAGCCCCCGGCGGCACCCGTGGCCTCGAAACACCCCCGAGCCAGCCCCCGGCGGCACCCGTGGCCTCGAGACACCCCTGAGCCAGCTCCCAGCGGCACCCACGGCCACGCAACGCCCCTGAGCCAGCCCCCGGCGGCACTCGTGACCTCGCAACACTCGCGAGCCAGCCCCCGGCGGCACCTGCACCCTCGCAACACCCCTGAGCCTGCCCCCGGCGGCACCCGTAACCTTGAAACAACCCCGAGCCAGCCCGCGGCGGCACCCGTGGCCTAGAGACGCCCGCAATTCAGCCCCCGGCGGCACCCGTGGCCTAGAGACACCCCTGATCGAGCCCCCGGTGGCACCCGTGGCCTAGAGACACCCCTGAGCCAGCCCCCGGCGGCACCCGTGACCTCGAAATACCCCCGAGGCAGTTCCTGGACCAGAGGACGGCGGGGCCAGCTCGGGCATGACAACGACGGCCGGGTTTGCGTCGCTGAACGATCCTTTTTTACCCAGCAGCAGTTCGTTTGGCTAATTGTTTTGTTTTCGGCAGCCGGCTGGCTGCTTTACGTGCAGTAACTTCTGCACCAGGGGCCCGTGGGACTTCTGTTTGCGCCGAAAGGAAGGAGACGCAGTATATTGCGCCGCATCGTTGACTGCTCGCTGGCCCGCCCTGGGTTGTTTTTTATGGATGCCGGTCGTTCGACTTCGGTGATTGTTCCCGAGACTTCGTCCATCCTCAGTCGATTGGTATGGTAGGCCTCAAGTTTGAACACTCCCTTGACATGGCACTTTGGCCACCATTTGTTGGCGGGTGATGAGCGCGGATTTCTCTGTCAGGATGGGCGTGTGTGAGACACTAAGGTTGGCTGATGTGATGGATCGACCAGCTTCCAGAACAGTGACGGGTACGGGCTCAGTACTGCAGTGCCGCGTGCAGGGAACAGGGTGCCTTGCTGTCCATTGCTCGGACAGTTGGAGCTCGGTGTTAGCGGCTCACGCCTATTTGGACCCATGTTCTAGCATGTGATCTCTAAAAAACTCCCTGTGGTGATTTTATCGTAGATCGCATTCCATTTGATGGCGTTCCGAGAGCCTGGTGCTGTATCAAAAGAAGTGGATCAGATAGCCTTGGTCAAGTAGGACCACCTTTGTGTCGATGGGTGGTTCGATTTAAATCATGATACGGAGGATGCCAGCTGACCTTTCCGTGTCATTTGGACCAAACCCTGGGTACGTTCTGTGACTCGCGCCCACTGTCGCTCTGTTGGGTAGGTCCCGTTTGCTGGATCGAGCGTGCTTGGCAGGATTCATCGAAGAACATGGCTGTCCATTTGCTCGGATGATAAATCGTGTCATTTTGGTTTGCGCCGGCTCCATGCAATATGGGAATAAGACAATGCGCTGTGCCGCGAACCCCATTGCTATTTCAGCGTCAGCTGTGCCCGGATGACCTCGGGTTTTATGTCTGGCCGTACATCAGTCCTGTTTCGGATGAAGCTGACTGTTGAACTTCCTCTCTCCGCCCAGCACTAAACAAAGTTATGCCCCCTCCCCTAAGCTCAGCTTTGGAGGCCTTGTGGCGGCGGCGGCACCCTACTACACAAAGTCGGCACTGATCCATGGCCGCCGCGTGCGGCTGAGTCGCGCCGTGGCGTGGCGGTGAGCTGGCGGCGGCGGCGGCGGCGGCGGACCGGGCCTGGCCGGGCGGGCCGTCCCCGTCGGGCCGACCCGCGGGACCCACGGTCTGCGGCCTCATCAGGCGGTCGCGGCCGTAAGCCGCCGTGACGCGCCGCCGCCTCATCAAATCGCCGGCGGCACTTCGGCGCCCGGCCATCTGGCATTGACGCGGCGCCGAAACAGAATCCAATCTGGCGCGGCCGCGGCGAGGTCAGGCGGCGCAGTCCTTCAATTTGGAGGGCGGCGGCAAAACACGACCGACGACGCCGGCCCGGCCCGGCCCCGGCCGCACGGCCTCCCCGCCAGGGGCTGTCGCAGCGGACACGAATCAGCTGCTGGCTTGGCAAGAAATGTGGGAAATATTGCAAAGAAAATAAATGCATGGGATGCTTATAATGATAATGCATACGACTTTAACACACACCTACACGCATACACACTGTTAAGCACAAATGGTACTAGCTCTTTTGATCCATAGATGCCGTGGTTGGTACGGCATTTGTTAATGCAGAATGACGTTTGGGGCATGTTATATTTAGTGCATGGTACGGCGTACGGTTGATGACATTGCCGTTGTCGCTGCGCGGCCTCAGCCAAGGCCGTTCCCACACGTCCCTGACGTTCCTCATGCCACTGTCGACCGAATCTTGTCTGATGGTAGTAAACCGAATTTCTAACTTAGTTATGACAACCCAAATGTCATCACTTGGTGGTGGGCGACCTTTAAATGGAGCAGTTGCATAGTGGATGACGGTGCAGACCAGACGGTGACTTCCCGGTCGGGCGCGGCCCCTTGTGAAGCCACGGGGACATCGATTGCCGTGGCCTGTTGTTTGACCCGGATGCCGGCCTTCAGGCGTTTTGTGTCATGACTGGTGGTGTCCTCATGTGGAGTCTGTGCGCGTATGCTGCAGCGTACATGATGTGAAACCCTCCACACTTGCAAGCAGCAAGCTCCAGCAAGCGTCCGTGGCATCCTCAACTGTCTGAATCTCGCCGAGTTGTCCGCTGTGAAGCCCTGCTCCCCCTCTGCTGCTGATTAACACAGCCACCTGACGTCCGCCTCCGCCGCCGCCAGGTAACGTGGACAACGCGTTCGCGGTGGACTCGGTGCTGGGTACCATCTCGGTGGCCATCGGGCTGGACCAGCGGCGCGCCAGCGAGTACATCCTAACGGTGCGCGCCAGCGACGCCGGCCGGCCGCCGCTGCACGGCGACGTCCACGTCAACGTACTCGTCACGCTGCCCGACAACGCGCCGCCCCGCTTCGAGAAGGTCAGTGCTCACCGCCCCGCTTCGGGCAGATCAGTGCGCACCGCCCCGCTTCGAGAAGGTCAGTGCGCGCCGACCCGCTTCGAGAAGGTCAGTGCGCGCCGACCCGCTTCGAGAAAGTCAGTGCGCACTGCCCCGATTCGAGAAGGTCAGTGCGCACCGCCCCGCTTCGAAAAAGTCAGCGCGCACTGCCACCGCTGCAACGGAAAGTGTGCTTCACAGGGCTGGGCTCAGCGTGGATCGTTCCGCGGTCCGGTCAGCCGGGGGGGGGGGGGGGGGAGGGGAGGGGCAAATGACTGTGCGAACTGAAGCAGCTTTTGACGGTCTTCGGCTTCGTAAAGGGAATGTACTGTCGACGCTTGGCACATGACTGGGAAGTACATCTGTTACATTTGATTGACTGCTTCACCTGCGAGCGGCATAGGTCTTCGGTCCAATTTTTTATCTATCGAATTGATAAGTGCGCTCCCATCACAGCAATGAAAGGTGACCCGCAGTGGTCGTGACTGACAACGGCATTGATGTGCGCAAGTTATGGAGGAGGATTGGTGAGCCCTGCCTCGCCCATTACGTTCCCGGAAACCATAAAGAGAGTCAATATGCGGCAAACAACACGCACGGCGGGCAGAAAAATACCGAGCCCGTTCTCTTGCGCGCCTGCTTCCTTATAAGAGATGTTTTTCTGCAGCGTGGCTTGATTATTCCATTAGCTGAAGAGTTTGAAACCGTGTCTAAAAGCGTTGCGAAAAGAGTATTTCTAAGGCAAAATGTCACATTTCGCTTTGTTATGGACTAACGACGAGCTCTTTGAAACATAATAGCCTGTCATAACAGCGGGCTGTACCTGAAAAATTGCCTGTGGGGGCTTCCGGACTTTTGCTCGCAAGAATAGAACGGAAAGCTCTGAGCGACGATATGTGCAGTGATGCATCTGCGCAAAGGGCCGGAGGTATTGTGTTAATGCCGTATTAGCAATGGAAATTGCCTTAACGAGTGGAGGCTGAATCGAAGCGAGAGAACCATTCAGGGATGCGCTTGCTGTGGATGTCTGTACTGTTACCGGCAAAGTGCGGATCTGAGGTGGACCAGGGGACCCCGGGTACTGACGTGTTGTCCGTGTCCACCGCTGCAGGCAGAGTACGGCCCTGAGGTGGAGGACTACAGAATCCCGGGTACTGACGTGTCGTGTGTCTCCACCGCTGCAGGCGGAGTACGGCCCTGAGGTGGAGGACTGCAGAACTCCGGGCGCTGACGTGTTGTCCGTGTCCACCGCTGCAGGCAGAGTACGGCGCTGAGGTGGAGGAGGACAGGCCTCCGGGCTCCCACGTGCTGGACGTGGTGGCCCACTGCCGGACTTCAGTGACCTACCGTCTGGTGGGAGGCAATGAGGACGGCTCGTTCCTGCTGAACCCTGGCGCCGGGATGCTCACCGTCAGCGAGAGACTCGACTACGAGCGCCGCACCTGGTACAACCTGTCCATACAAGCCGTCAGCATGGTGAGAGTTCGCGTGACTACGAGCGCCGCACGTGGTACAACCTGTCCGTACAGGCCGTCAGCATGGCGAGAACTTCGTTGGCGGTTTCGGAATTCCAAGTCCCAACGCTCGTTGGCACTAAGCTCCCTGCAAGGATAAGCTGACGGAAGTTCCCAGACGTGCCAACGTTATTGTCAAGTGCGGGGGCTAGTTATGTCGACCGACATCATATATTGATATCCCGATGACTTTTAAATGGCATTTGCTGCCCCATGTGTAGGAACATCATTTCCACACTGACTCAAGTTGTGTTATCTCCACAAACGGGTGAAAAACCCTAATCATGTGCCGGTAAGCAGTGGCCTCCAACGCACATCTCACTTGTGACCATCTCCTCTGTCGGATGAGGTGGCCCACACGAGCGGCATTATAACCAGAGGTCTGATCCCGTCTGACCTGTGTGCCGTCCCCTCCAGGTGGGCGAGGTGGCCCACATGAACGTCATCATACCATAACCTCTAACTGACCCCGGCTGACCTGTGTGCCGTCCCCTCCAGGTGGGCGAGGTGGCCCACATGAACGTCATCATACCATAACCTCTAACTGACCCCGGCTGACCTGTGTACCGTCCCCTCCACACGAGCGTCATCATACCCTGACCTCTAACTGACCCCGGCTGACCTGTGTGCCGTCCCCTCCAGGTGGGTGAGGTGGCCCACACGAGCGTCATTATACTCTGACCTCTAACTGACCCCGGCTGACCTGTGTACCGTCCCCTCCACACGAGCGTCATCATACCCTGACCTCTAACTGACCCCGGCTGACCTGTGTACCGTCCCCTCCACACGAGCGTCATCATACCCTGACCTCTAACTGACCCCAGCTGACCTGTGTACCGTCCCCTCCACACGAGCGTCATCATACCCTGACCTCTAACTGAACCCGGCTGGCCTGTGTACCGTTCCCTCCACGTGGGTGAGGTGGCCCACATGAACGTCATCATACCCTGACCTCTGACTGACCCCGGCTGACCTGTGTGCCGTCTCCTCCAGGTGGGTGAGGTCGCCCACACGAGCGTCATCATACCCTGACCTCTACTGAACCCGGCTGACCTGTGTGCCGTCCCCTCCAGGTGGGCGAGGTGGCCCACATGAGCGTCATCATACCCTGACCTCTGACTGACCCCGGCTGACCTGTGTGCCGTGACCTGTGTGCTGACCTGTGTCCCTCCAGGTGGGCGAGGTGGCCCACACGAGCGTCATCATACCCTGACCTCTAACTGACCCTGGCTGACCTGTGTGCCGTCCCCTCCACACGAGCGTCATTATACCCTGACCTCTAACTGACCTCGGCTGACCTGTGTACCGTCCCCTCCACACGAGCGTCATCATACCCTGACCTCTAACTGACCCCGGCTGACCTGTGTACCGTCCCCTCCACACGAGCGTCATCATACCCTGACCTCTAACTGACCCTGGCTGACCTGTGTGCCGTCCCCTCCAGGTGGGTGAGGTCGCCCAGACGAGCGTCATCATACCCTGACCTCTAACTGACCCCGTCTGACCTGTGTACCGTTCCCTCCAGGTGGGCGAGGTGGCCCACACGAGCGTCATCGTGCACGTGCTGGACGTGAACGACAACCGTCCGCGGCTGGCGCGGCCACGTTACGCCGGCCGGGTGCGCGAGTCGGCGCCGGTCGGCTCGGCCGTGCTGGCCGACGACGGCCGGCCGCTGGTGGTGGCCGCTGTGGACCTGGACGACAACAGCAACGGCCGGCTGCTGTTCAGCATCGTGGAGACGGCCGCCCGCCAGTTCCTGCAGATCGACCCCGACTCCGGTGAGAGTGGCCGGAGTGTGCCGGCGGTGCGGGGCAACTGAACACTGTCGCGGCTCATGTGCTGGTTTGGAGTCGGTGTCCGGCCTCGGGCTGTACCGGCGCCGTCCGCTAACGCGTGTGCTGCACAGGTGCCCTGAGGACCGCCGGCGCGCTGGACCACGAGAGCCGGTCCCAGCTGGAGTTCACGGTGGACGTCTGGGACCGCGGCCAGCCCCGTCTGCAGGCGGCCAGGCCGGCTCGCGTCACCGTCGCCGTGCTTGACGTCAACGATGAGCCGCCCCGTTTCGCGCACGCGCAGTACAACTTCACCGTGCTGACGCCCAGCTACGACGGCGTGGAGGTCGGCACCGTGCAGGCCTCCGACCCGGACACGCAGAACATCAGGTAACAATGCAGGCCTCCGACCCGGACACGCAGAACATCAGGTAACAGTGCAGGCCTCCGACCCGGACACGCAGAACATCAGGTAACAGCGCAGGCCTCCGACCTGGACACGCCGCAGAACACTAGGTAACAGTGCAGGCCTCCGACCCGAACACGCAGAACATCAGGTAACAGTGCAGGCCTCCGACTCGGACACGCAGAGCATCAGGTAACAGCGCAGGCCTCCGACCTGGACACGCCGCAGAACACTAGGTAGCAGGGCAGGCCTCCGACCCGGACATGCAGAGCATCAGGAAACTGTGCAGGCCTCCGACCCGGACACGCAGAGCATCAGGTAACAGTGCAGGCCTCCGACCCGGACATGCAGAGCATCAGGGAACAGTGCAGGCCTCCGACCCGGACACGCAGAGCATCAGGTAACAGTGCATGCCTCCAACAGTGCAGCCTCCTACCTGGACGCCCAGAACACCAGGTAGCAGTGCAGGCCTCCGACCCAGACACGCAGAACATGAGGTATCCGTGCAGGCCTCCAACCCAGACACGTAGAACACCAGGTAATTCATGCGATAATGCTTGGGTCTTACCGCGAAGAACGTTTGCATTGTACACGACCAGTCACCATCTTTGTGTTTTCATTGTTCAAACAGCGGAGCACGCTTTGGTTTCGGCAACGCGCTGTTTGTATACGGGGCGTGATGCTGAGCAACGAATCACAGCCTCCAAAGGTTGCTTGGCAGACTTTCTGTGCTCTCTGACTCCGCCCGCCTCCAGCTATTCGCTTACCCTCCTCCCGCCCCAGTTACTTGCTGATCCTCTGCCCCGTTCTCAGCTCTTCGCTGGCCCTTCTCCCCGTTCCCAGCTACTCACTGACCCTCTGCCCCGTTTGCAGCTACTCGCTGACCCTCTGTCCTGTCCCCAGCTACTCGCTAACTTCTTGCCCTATCACCAGCTGCTCGCTGACTCCTTGCCCTGTCACCAGCTGCTCGCTGACTCCTTGCCCTGTCACCAGCTGCTCATTGACCCTCTGCCCCGTCCTCAGCTACTCGCTGACGGGCGCCGACGCGGCGCTGTTCTCGCTGGCCGCCGACACGGGCTCGCTGCGCCTGCTGCGCGGTGAGACGGTGCCGCCGCTGGCCAACGTGACCGTGCACGCGTCGGACGGGCCGCACCGCGCCGCCGCCCTGGTGCTGGTGCGCAGCCGCCAGGTGGCCAGTCGCGGCCTGGTGTTCTCCAGCGACCAGTTCTACGGCACCGTGCGCGAGAACACGACTCGCGTCGACATCGTGGCCTCGCTGTCCGTGCGGGGCAACCAGCTGATGGAGCACCTCGCCTTCCGCATCCTCAACCCTTCCGAGTACTTCGTGAGTGATGGCGCGAGGTGGTGGTGGTCCGAGCATTTGGTATAACCGACGGCTTTTAGTGGGTGTCGTGTCCAGTGTGTATGTCCAGGGTGGACGCTGCTGGTCCGTATATCTCGCTGAGAGGCGATGTCTCCTGGCCTTGCGACACATTGGCAAAACGTGGCTACTAACATCGACCCTGTAGGCTTATGCGGTGCGACGTAGTAGCGCTTGTAAATGCTGTCGACGTTTGTGGGTTCTGGAAGGTGCTTTTTAGAATCAAGTTTCTGCTCATCTGAGCATAAAGCCGACAAGCACTGATTAGTCGTTCGTTCCGGGGTAACGAAGTCCTTGTCTATAAGATGCTGGCTCTCTAGCGTTGCCTCTGAACATTATGTGATGCCTATTGTCGGGGGCTTTTCGACGCCGGACAACTGGGGTAAATGATCGAAGGGGCGCCGTTTTAAACGTCGCTGATGCCGCAAAACAACTCTTGAAGCGCCCGGTGTGAGGTATGGGTGGTGTTTGGACAGAGCTAACTTGCACATCCGAGCAGATCATTCGCCAAGGTTTTTACATTTATGTGAAGCATTACGACGCTGTTCCGCACCGCCACCACACCGGGCTCATAGACTCCTCACTGCACTCTTATGCCCGCACCGTTCAGTGGCCTGCCCTGAGCATGACTTGGTTGGGAACTGTGTGTTGACGTTTTATTATCGTTACGATCCCATTCATCCCATTAGCCTGTGCGGCCTCAGTTTTGCGCTTTGGTTGATAACGGCTTTACAGCCGGCTACTGCAGAATATTAACCAGCTGAATCCTCGAACGCTGAATATGTTTTCGTAGTCGTGACGCGGAATCTGACTGACTCGCCATAGTTACCGCTGGCTTTGGCGGGAAAATCTCCCGCGAATTGTACTGGCGGGTTCCATGGCTTCAAGGTCAAATTGTCCGCCGTTCTGGGAGGAGCGTTTCTGATGGGTCGAAGCGCTCCGTGGTCAGTCCATTCTGTGCCATCTGCTTTTCCAATAACGGTGGCTTTCATCTAGTCTGATAGCATATTAACGAGTCAGCCCCGCCTATACAGTTGTATGGACAGCCTTTGAGTCAGTCCATCCCACCGTGCAACAAGACGGCGGGCGCTGTTCGGAACTGTCTCTCTGTGAGTGATCCTCTTGTGACGGTGTCCCCCACAGAGCATCAGCGAGACGGCTGGCGTGGTGCGCACCACGGGTGTGGCGCTGGACCGGGAGCAGCAGGAGCAGCACGTGCTGGCCGTAGAGGTGCGCAGCGACAGGGACGGCCGGGTGGCGCACACGCTGCTGCACGTGACCGTCATGGACGACAACGACAACCGGCCCGTGTTCGTCAACCAGCCGTATCACGCCGTCGTGCCCGTCGAGGCCACCGTCGGAGCTCCGGTCACCAAGGTGAGAACACTGAGTGGGGCTGGCTGGTTTCTACTGGTCGGAGCTCCAGTCACCAAGGTGAGAACACTGAGCAGGAGCTGTCTGGTTACTACTGGTCGGAGCCCCAGTCACCAAGGTGAGAACACGGAGCAGGGGCTGGCTGGTTACTACCGGTCGGAGCTCCGGTCACCAAGGTTAGAACACTGAGTGAGGCTGGCCTGTTATTACTGGTCGAAGCTCCGGTCACCAAGGTGAGAACACTGAGCAGGGGCTGGCTTGTTGCTACTGGTCGAAGATCCGGTCACCAAGAGGAGAACACTGAGCAGGGACTGCCTGGTTCCTACTGGTCGGGGCTCCGGTCATCAATGTGAGAACACTGAGCAGGGACTGGCTGGTTACTACTATTCGGAACTCCGGTCACCAAGGTGAGAACACTGAACAGGGGCTGGTTGGTTACTACTGGTTGGAGTTCCGGTCACCAAGGGGAGAGCAGTGAGCACGGGCTGGCCTGTTACTGCTGGTCAGAACTCCGGCCACCAGCGTGAGAACACTGATGAGGGGCGGGCTTAATGCAATGCAAATGTAATAATGTCACCCGTAAATAGCATGCCGTTACGCGCGATGCCGTGATATGACGCGACATTTGGCGCGTCACTCCCCGCCGTCGTGCGCCACTCTGTGACGCGCCGGGGTCGCAGGTGACGGCGATCGACGCTGACCTGGGCGACAACGGCCGGGTACACTATGACCTGCTGCGGGGCAACGGTGACCTGTTCGCTGTGGACCTGCTGAGCGGGGCTGTGACGCTGCGCCGCTCGCCGCGCGGCCTCGACACCGCCTTCAGGCTGGTCGTCACTGCTTACGATGGAGGTGGGTGGTGACGGGATGGCATCCTTGTTCGGCCGCTGCGCCCGTGGCGGGGTGTGCGGCACAATGGTATGTTGTGGTTGGCTGGCTTAGCTACACGTGCCGTGATATGGGCCATTGTTTTACAATTAGATTCAGTGGCGCCTTCGCCGTCTTACTAGGCTGGGCCAGCAGTCTAGTTCAGCGTTAGAGGCAATAGAGGTTGGTTTAGGTAGGAAGTGAGTCTCAGGTCGAAGGGCAAGCATGCAAGCTTAGGGTGAATCCCATGTATTATGGGCCTATTTTGATATTTTTAGTTGATGCTCTTGTTCTACGTAACATTTGCAATCGTTGCTGAAATACGAATTTTGCGCTCAAAAGAGCGAATCACATGGACATGCTTCAGTACAAATGTGATGTCTTTCGCCGTGCCACTATGTCGCAGACTGAAGTTGATGGTCGGACCTATTCAATATTCAGCTCGGTCGTCATCTGATTGTGTGCGCCGTTTGCGGCGCTGATTGATTCATGGGGAATCCCAGCTGCCTTGGCTGGAAAGCGCTGCCATTTGTCACTGGATGGGGACTGCATTAGCCGGCTTTGATTTATCGGAGTCGACAAACGCGCCACCCGTATCCCGGCTGCTGCTGAACCACTGACGTGCCCCAATATTTCAGTCTGACTGCTTATCGACCCCCGTGCGCCATTGTAGTCGCCTTGTGCCGACTCAACGTTTGTTTCGAGTGGCTTGTACTCTACGCTTGCGGCGTGTGGTCCGTTTACGCCGGCGGGTTTTACGAGCGGCTGACGCGTATCGAGCAAAGCGTCATATCAGGCGACGCTGTGAGAAATAGTCTTACATATCATACAGTCCACAGGGTGCTCAATTGTGATCCAAGATGCTTTGCTCGTCGCCATGTCAGGCATGCGTCAAATCCAACTGTACGCTGACATTGTCTGAAATGATAAGACAGGCGAGAAAGCTTCAGTGGTTAGATCACGGCTAAAGAGAGCGTTCCACATTTCTATGAGGCTTTGAACTGAACTAGCCATCCTGAGAGGTCATTAGGTGCATTTCACAGCCCTGCCCTTTTGAAGACCTAAATCTAATCTAAAACCTAGTTTCTGAGCTACACGCCCGCGATTACGGGGGAGAATATTTCAAATGGAAGAAAAGAAAGTGGAGACCTTGAAATACCCTCCACTTTCGGGGAGAGTATTTCGAGGTTACAGGTATCCATGATGTCATAAGAACGTCATTCAAATTATGCCATTCCATATGTCATGTGGTGATCAATGCCAAGAAAGCTATAACGGTCCAGCCATTCATATGTAGCGTTTCGGGAGCACGATTTTCAGATATAGTGGCCGTCAATTGGCTCTCAGTCAGTGTTGTGCGAGGTATGATAATGTCATCAAACAATGGCATATCGAGGAACATATTTACTAATCAGAACTTGTGCTGTGGTGAGTAGTCATATCTGTTTAAAAGTGTACCAATAGTTCTAAGTGACCGTGTTGTATCATATCTGATGTTCGTTTCAGTATCTTCAAACATGAAACATACCTTCAAACGTCTTCAAACATGATGCAGAGGTCGCGTGCTAAGCATTCAAACATGCAGCCATAGTTCCTAGGGCTCCTCAGCTCAGAAAGAATGCCCAGCATGACCATACGGGGGCTGAACGAAGAAAACCTTTCCCGTGTGCAGCGGCGGTAGCTGTCGACAAGTATGACGCATTCAGCAGATAGGAGCCGTCGACCGATGCGCGGTTACAGCATGGGCCAGTGCGCGTGTCCGACGCCCGTAAAACACATTGAGAACACAGTCGATGTGGCGGATTGTCGTTCGGTGCGTTCTGCTGCGTGGTAGAAGCAGGGCAGATGCCAGGCTGAGCCGCCATGGCCATCCAGAACTCAGCGCTGGGAAGGTTATTCTCTGCTGATTTGATTCAGGTTAGATGGTGTAAATTGAGGCTAAATTGTGCAACCTTTAGCTCGGCTCCACGACTTCTTGATGCGGTATGACATACAGAGCTCCGGTTGTGACGGTGGTTGTTCTTTCGACAAGCTTTCCTCCCCTCTCCTCGGAGGCGGAGGTGCTGGTGACACTGTGTCCGTCTCTGTGACAGGCCCTCCTTCCCTCTCCTCGGAGGTGCCGCTGGTAACGCTGTCCGTCTCTGCGACATGCTCTCCCCCCCATCTCCTTGGAGGTACCGCTGGTGACACTGTGTGTCCGTCTCTGTGACAGGCCCCCGTCCCCTCCCCTCTCCTCGGAGATATCGCTGGTGACACTGTGTGTCCGTCTCTGCGACATGCTCTTCTTCCCTCTCCTCGGAGGTACCGCTGATGACACTGTATGTCCATCTCTGTGACAGGTACCACGCCCCTCCCCTCTCCCCATAGGTGCCGCTGTTGACGATGTGTGTCTATCTCTGTGGCAGGCTCTCGTCCTCTCTCCTTGGAGGTACCGCTGGTAACACTGTCCGTCTCTGTGGCAGGCTCCCCTCCCCTCCCCTCGGAGATACCGCTGGTAACACTGTGTGTCCGTCTCTGTGGCAGGCTCCCCTCCCCTCTCCTCGGAGGCGGAGGTACTGGTGACAACCGTGGACGGCAGTCAGCCCCGCTTCTCCCAGCCGCACTACTGGGCCCACGTGGCTGAGTCGGCCGAGCGGCGCACGCCCGTGCTGACGCTGGAGGCGGCTGCCCCGTCCGCCTCCAGCCTGGTGTTCCAGCTCACAGAGCCGGCCGTCGACTCCATGTTCGACGTAGACTTCACCACCGGTGTGTATCGGACAGGCACATACATGGCCACCTGAAAAGGCCGGCACACACGGCTGGTGCCTTTTGAAGTACTTTGGGTTAGTTGAGGTGTTGTGACAGAGCGTTTGTCGTAGTTCCGAAACTGTCGAGCCCATCAGGAGGATACGCGTCACCAGTGTCTGGAAAGTCACCACCCGGGGAAGTTGGCCAGACCCGTCCTGGGCAAACTGCAAGAGTATCGACTCATGCACGATGCCGCAGGCGTTCTGTACGTGGCTGGTGAGCTGGACTACGAGACCCGGCCGCGCTACAAGCTGACGGTGTCGGCCACGGACCGGGTCACGGGGTCAATGACCTCTGTGCCGGTCACGGTGAACGTCACGGACGTCAACGACAACGCGCCTCAGTTCGAGCGGTCGGTTTACAACGTGACGGCCAGCGAGGCGGCCCACCCCGGCCTGAAGCTGCTGCGCGTGAAGGTCACGGACCGGGACCAGGGTGAGGACCACTGACCAGGGAAGGGATCACGGACTGCGATAGGGATGAGGACCACTGACCAAGGGAAGGGATCACGGATCGGGACCAGGGTGAGGACCACCGACATAGGGAATGGTCTTGGACCGGGACCAGGGTGAGGACCACCGATTAAGGGAAGGGATCTTGGACTGTGTTAGGGGTGGGGACCAGCAACCAATGGAAGGTTTGCTCACATTGTTTTCGTATCTTTGTCGCATAGATTATTTGCGGGACCGTAGGAAAGCGGACAGGAACTGCTGCGAGACCTGTCAACCCAAATGTTTCATTCAACAGCTCCATTCTTGTAAATGGCTGAGCCGTACAGGCCTGCCATACCAAATATTTGATAAGAATACTCCATTTAAATTAATGACTGAACCTTGCAGGTAGTTTCGAACTCATTACGCTCCCACGTGCTGTTCTTAATCTACATTGCTGAAGCTCGGTAGTCCAATAGGTCGGTCAGAATGTGCTGGTGAATAAGAAGCCTCCGTCGCTGGGCGGGCAATGTAATCAGGGGTTCGGTGTCTGGACACAATCGATCAGTCTCGGGTGGCTGGGCGGCGGCCCGGCCCTGAACGGCGGCTCCGTCCAACGGACAATGTGTCAAACAAGACTGGGCTCCTGCCAAAGGGTGTTTCTGATTGGATGTGAAGCGTTGGCCAAGATGAGTGGTGATGATAAAAGCGGGCCTTTCGTCGTAAGTGTACGTCATTAGCAGGAGCTGTGTTTTATGGTGTTACGTCCGCACCTCTTAACTGTGTCTGGCAACCCGTGTTTCTAAATGCTGAACTCCAGAAAGACACCTCGTGCTGTGTCTTGTGCTGCCCACGCGCGTATATATGTGCTTTGACGATGCCGCGTGTGCTTGCCTGATGGTAACCGCGCCTGTGTTTGTCGTCCAGAGGACGACCAGCCGCTAAGCTTCCGTGTCCAGGAGGCGGACGGCTCGGAGAGCTTCCTGTTCCACATGACGTCCGACGGCTCCCTGGCCGTCACCAGCTACCTGGACTTCGAGCAGCGGCCGCTGCACCAGCTGGTGATGACCGTCTCCGACGACGGCTCGCCGCCGCTCACTGGCACCGCGCTGCTCACCGTCAACGGTGAGAACACGCCGCTCTCCCGACACGGGGTGACGTCACTGGCCGGCGGCGTTCGGTGCTCACCGTCAACGGTGAGAACACGCCGCTCTCCCGACACGGGGTGACGTCACGGGCCGGCAGCGCTCGGTGCGAGCTGTCGTCTTCGCCGCCAGCAGCTGTTAGTGCGGCGCACAGTGGCGGTGCTCTCTGGGCATTGTCTCGCTGTTAACGTCGCGGAACTCCGTACAAGTCTTCATTCTTGGGATGCATCAACCACCTCATTGTTGCAAAACACTGCGTCCACCGTCGTCTTTTTGTAGTAGCTGAAGCCAAGGTCGACAGTAACTGTCGAGGGCGCCGAACGCAGCTGCCACCGACCAACTGTTGGTCGGTGGCGCTGCGTTCGTCGTCGACAGTTGGTTTTAAGGCGGTGATCATCATTAGTAGGTTTCGTGGTACTGGTCATTAGGGGTTTATCTTCAACCGGCCGGCGGCGGGTCCCACAGTGCTCATGTCCGAGACACGATAGTTGTAAATTACTTCATCTGAGCGTGAAGCGCGTAAGTCAAGATCAGTTGGATCGAAGTCTTAGCGGTCTGTACACTGTTGTTCTGTGCTGTGCTGTTGGTCTTTAATTGATAGGTTACTGTCGGCTCGACAAAACGCTGGTTAGTCTTGCCCTGGCTACAGGCCGCGTTGAAGTTGCCCGTGTAATACGCCGAACAGCGTGCGTCAGAACATTCGCGAGGGCGAGACACTGGATGTGACTGTTGGCCGAAGTGAGCCGGTTGTAGTGAACCTCGTGATCGCGCACGTCCGCGAGATCCGGATGGGTGATGGGGCCGTCAGAGTGGACTTCTGCACGGAGGTCCGGCTCGAAGAATGAATCTCCGATGGCCATAGTGGGCTGCTGACTGGTCTGGGACCTAGTTTTGTTCCCGACGCCACTTCACGGAATCAGTCGATAGTCAGAGTAGCCAGAATGACGCGCTGCCGGACCTGTGTCTCGCGACGGCTGACTGACAAAGTTAGACGGCCGGGCTCGGCGAACTTCTCTCGTCGGAAGCAGCAGGCCGGGCTGGACCAGCGGCCGGACAAAAATCCTCCGGCTCAGGTCGGCCCCGGCGGAATAGTGGCACACCTGGTGCCCCTGACCATATTGAATATGTCACGGCGGATGCAATGACGTCCCGAGGCGCGGACCATGCGCAGGTCGTCACACGTGGTTTGTGAGCAGTGGCTTGGGGGTGTGCGCCGGCTAGCCTTTGATAGCTCCATAGCGGTCCCCGTGGCCACCCGCCACCCGCCACGCGCCACGCACAACGCACCATGCACTATGCACTATGCACTACGCACCACGCACCACGCGCCACTCGCCACGCACCACACGCCACGCGCCACGCGCCACGCGCCACACGCCACACGCCGCATGCCACATGCCACACGCCACACGCCACACGCCACATGCCACACGCCACATGCCACACGCCACACGTCACATGCCACCTGCGACAGAGCCGTCGCATTGGCGAAGTCTGCTTGACTTTACCTCTCATCGCGATAGGAGCTATATATTGGGCGCTAGGCGGCCACAATGGGGGCGCTATAAAGTCCAAATGCCAAGCCGTTCTGCTTTTGTCTACCAGAGCACCGGTGATCCGCAGCCCATCGCCCGTGCGGGGGGTGATAGCGATCTGAGATCGGTCTCATTTGTCCCATGCACACGTTGCACAGCCCATTCACGCACTGACCGGCCCCGCTCTGGAACAGACTGTCCACGACCAGCGGCGCTGCTAGAAACCGAGAGCACCTGGGGATACGCTGACGCGTGGGTGACCCGCGTGTTTCTTCGGTATTGAGCATGTCCACCATGCGGCTGTTGCTGGAATCAAATCACACATTCATCGTCCCGCCCGTATTGTTGTTACATGAAATTCAGTGGCTTACCCGGACGTCCTGGTGTCTGCCTGTTGACAGTGGAGGACGTGAACGACAACGTGCCGGTGTTCGACCGGGCCAGCTACGCGTGCGAGCTGACGGAGCTGCCGTCTCGGGGGCAGTTTGTCACCATGGTGAAGGCGCACGACCCGGACCCCACCGACCAGCTCGTCTACCGCATCGCTGACGGCAACGACCGCCAGCTGTTCTACATCAACAGGCGCACAGGTAAATGACAGGTACAGTACAGTCGCAGGCACACAGGTAAATGGCAGGGACAGTATAGCCACGGGCGCACAGGTTAGTGGCAGGGACAGCACAGTCACGGGCGCACAGGTGGATGACAGGGACAGTACAGTCACGGGCACACAGGTAAATGGCTGCGACAGTACAGTCACGGGTGCAAAGGTAACTGGCAGGGACAGTACAGTGACAGGCGCACAGGTAGCTGGCAGGGACAGTACAGTCACGGGCGCACAGGCAGAGGCAGGCTCACTATATGGGCTGCGCTCAGATAGGCAGCAGACTCACTATATCGACCAGTGCTCAGGAAGGCGTTAGGTTCACAGCACCGGTGGCTGTCCGAGAAGGCGGCAGGTTCACAGCACCGGTGGCTGTCCGAGAAGGCGGCAGGTTCACATTACCGGCAGGTACGCAGATAGGCGACAGGTACTCCGTCTCCAAGTCTGGCCCTAGCAAACTCACGGGGTTTAGAGCAAATCCAATGAAGCGATGTCACTCAGGAGGGAATGGAACAGTGTCGGTCGCGGAGAAGCTGGGCGCAGCATTCAAAGACGGTAGGCGAGGATCCAAGGCGCGGTCTGCACAGTGTCGGGCCGTGACCGGTCTCATCCCACAATGTGAACGCCCAATGCCGGCTTGTGGCGCAGTACCTTGTATTAGTATTAGGTGTGTCATTCGCTCATATTAGCTGGCGGTGACGGCGGCGATTAATTTAATTATCTTGTTACGAGTCAGCGGTACCTGCACCGCCTGAGATTTCCTCCTTGGCTGGTGCTCTGTCGCGTGCAAGTCCAGAGACTCTAGCTCTCTTCGCATGTCACTGAGTGTCGCTTTCCGTGCGGCCTAGTGAGGTAGACACAAACCCCTGTGGTATTCAGAGCGGGAGGGGCAGCTCGGTTTCAGAGCTTCAAACGCAGGCGCGTCAATGACAGAATGGTAGAGCGGTTCGTCGTTTGATTAATTGCGCTGAATTCCCCGAGAGCACCTCCATCGAACTCGACACGATGCCGTCCGGTGGAGTAATGGCTGCAGCGGTGTTCTCAGTCCAGTGCGATGGCGCATTGGGTGGCTCCGTGGATGGGTTCACTCATCCACGTAACTGCTGGAAGTTGATTGACGCAGTATCCACGCGGCATATGACCAGCGTAGTCGGTGCGCCCCAAAGCCCAAATCATCATCATCATCGACGCAGTATCCACGGAGTCAGATGCGAGTAAACGCTGCACCTGTACCTCCCTGGTGCACCCTGGCGCACCCTGCACCTCCGTTGGGGTATTTGCCTGATTGCACGTCGGCTGTCTTATCACAGCCACATATTATTCTGTACAAAGCCAGTTACGGTGAGCGGCGGTGATCCGTGCTGGACTCAATCTCTTGAGGCATGCCGATGCCGATACAGCAATACGACCGCTGGACACTGTCGGTCGAAGCTCAGAACTGTGTGCTAACACGTTCTGAATACGGTACAACACTTTCGGTAAGACAGGTTAAAATACATGGGCGAGGATCCATAAACTTGGACGATGCTTTCTTACGACTTGAAGGAACCGTGTGGCAAAGGGATATTGGGCGAGTTATGAAGCGTGCTGGACCCAGCCTGTACCACCGTGGTGGGACGGGGAGCAGCGGGCTGGGTTTGGCAATGACTCGAGAGTGCGCTGCTCACGGCTCTCTCAACACTGCCCTGCCTGCTGAGGGTGGCTCGCAGGTCGGGCCTCGGAGGATGTGGGTCGGTGCCGCCGCGGTGCCGACGGTGACTGACGCGTCACGTTTGTCTCGGCGCCGCGGCTGTGACGGCTCCTCCGTATAACGCCCGAGATGAATGCCCGCTCGCTGTAATGCGGACCACAGCTGGCTGATGGCTGTCATCAGCGTGTAAACCGTGACCCTCCTCCGTACCGGTGCCGTGTGAGGGGAATGTGACGTGTCACTCTGTGTCCTGTCATCAGTGTGCAGACCGTGACCCTCCTCCGTACCGGTGCCGTGTGAGGGGAATGTGACGCGTCACTCTGTGTCCTGCCATCAGCGTGCGGACCGTGACCCTCCTCCGTACCGGTGCCGTGTGAGGGGAATGTGACGCGTCACTCTGTGTCTTGCCATCAGTGTGCAGACCGTGACCCTCCTCCGTACCGGTGCCGTGTGACGGGAATGTGACACGTCACTCTGTGTATTGCCGTCAGCGTGCAGACCGTGACCCTCCTCCGTACCGGTGCCGTGTGACGGGAATGTGACACGTCACTCTGTGTATTGCCGTCAGCGAGCAGACCGTGACCCTCCTCCGTACCGGTGCCGTGTGACGGGAATGTGACACGTCACTCTGTGTATTGCCGTCAGCGAGCAGACCGTGACCCTCCTCCGTACCGGTGCCGTGTGACGGGAATGTGACACGTCACTCTGTGTATTGCCGTCAGCGTGCAGACCGTGACCCTCCTCCGTACCGGTGCCGTGTGACGGGAATGTGACACGTCACTCTGTGTATTGCCGTCAGCGAGCAGACCGTGACCCTATTCCGTACCGGTGCCGTGTGAGGTGAACGTGACGCGTCACTCGTGTCTCCCGCAGGCGTCATCACGGTGGCCAATATCCGGGCGTTCGATGAGTCGCCCCAGTACCAGCTGAACATAACTGCCGCCGACGGTATTCACCACACCTACGTGCCCCTGACGGTCCGACTGATGCCCGCTAACAAGGTGACTGCCGCTCAGAAGCGCCTCTGCGACAGCAGTGTATCACACGTGCAATATGATGACAGCGGTGCTGCTGGCTGGCCGAGATAATGTCGCGGGCCGTCAGTTTAGTGTGTGCCGTGGAAGGCCGGGCTTGAAGGGTCTGGCATCAAGTTGTCATCGATTGAACGCGCTGGTGTGTTGTCTCAACATAGACCCGCCACGGACTGGAATGCTCTTCCCTTCCAGCATGCGCCCGCATTCGAAAAGGTCGCCTACGAGGTGGACCTGAGTGAAGACGTGGCCAGCGGCACTCCGGTGACCCAGGTCAAGGCATATGACCCAGACAGGGGTCCCCTGGGTCAGGTGGTGTACAGCATTCCCTCCGATCGATGGAGAGAAGTATTCAGCATCAACGCTTTCAACCGGTGAGTGGCTGTCATCCTTCCGTTAGAAGGTCCTGTCACAGATTTCCGATATCACGTCTGGTCATTTTTAGGGAATGCAGTTCTCAAGAGGAATCGAACACCTTTATTTGCATTGCAATCGTTCCGGATGTTTTCGAAAGCTCTGGGGCATGGCGGAACCCATTCGCTGCTCGGAATGGGGTTAACGGAGAGCACGACCGGAATAAGGAGTAATTGGCTACTTCCATAGGTTGCGAGACAGCCCGGTGCTGAAGCTTCCCGTCTGGACTGGTGCTGTGTTATGTACAGGCGTGATCAGCACCCGTCAACGGCTGGACCGTGAGACGGAGCCGGTGCTGGAGCTGCCCGTGTAACTGGTGCTGTGTTGTGTAGAGGTGTGATCAGGACCCGTCAGCCACTGGACCGTGAGACGGAGCGTGCTGGAGCTGCCCGTGTGAACTGTGCTGTGTTGCGTACAGGCGTGATCAGCACCCGTCAGCGACTGGACCGTGAGACGGTGCCGGTGCTGGAGCTGCCCGTGTGGGCCACGGACGGTGGTCACCGGTCTGATCACACCACAGTCAAGGTCCGGCTGTCGGACGTCAACGACAACGCGCCCCGCTTCCAGCTGGCTCAGTACCGGGCTGTCGTGGCGGCCAACCTCACGGCCGGAGACGTCATCTGCAAGGTGAGCATGAGCCTGTCCCCGGCTGGACAGGTGTCAGCGGCCGGTACAAGGTGATCATGAGCCTGTCCCCGGCTGGACGTGTGTCAGCGGCCAGTATAAGGTGAGTCTGAGCCTGTCCCCGGCTGGACGTGTGTCGGCGGCGGTGGACCGTGCTGACACTGAGGTGTTGGACCGTTCTGTCACCTGTGGCTCGTGTGTCTAGCGATCGGCCAATGACCTCACGGGTACCATGTCGCTCGCCACCGCCATGGCCAAGAAGCTCACTATGACCATGTATTTTGCGACCGTGGTGGTCGGGTGTGACTTGCTTCTTGTATTTTCATTGGTCGGCGGTCCGCCAGGTGACGGCGTACGACTCGGACGAAGGAGATAACGCCAGGCTCACGTACAGCATCTTCGAGACGGAGGTGTCGGACATCAGGAAGGCCTTGGATATCGATTCGGAGACGGGAGAGATCATTCTGATGCAGCGGCCAACTCAGCTGGGTGAGCCGGTTCACCTGCTGGTTGAAGCCGCAGCTAGAGCTTTGGTTGGGAACTGTCTTTTCGTGTTTTACTCAAGAACTGTCGCGGACGTTGTCCATACTCAGCTGAGTGGGTTGGAATGTTGCATGTTTAAGCACGCCTGCGCTGTCTTCGATCAGACAAAAAGCATTTCTCGCTAACCGGTCCTCGTTGCGCGGCGTAGCTGGTGACCGGTGGCGCCTCTGTTGGCAGAGAGTCCGGTGTACCAGTTGTTCGTGCGAGCGACAGATGGCGGCAGTGAGCGGCTGGTGGCCGACGTCCCAGTGGACGTGGTCGTGTTGCCAGACAGCGAGGGCATGCCCGTGTTTGACCCGCTGCTGTCGGGGCCACAGGGCGTGTTTCTCACCGAGAGTGACCCAGTTGGTGAGTAACCGAGACCCCATGCAGACAGCAATACGATGCCTGTGTTTCACCTGTTACTGTCGGGACCACAGGGCGTGCTTCTCACTCGGAGTAACCCGATGGGTGAGTAATGCAAGCCTGCCTGAATACAGCAGACATATTAGACGTGTTTGAACACATGTTTTCTTCTAGGCAAACCTGCCTTGCTTGAATATTTATCACCCTCTTCAGCTGTGGCTAAAGTAGCAAGTTTGACCTTTGAATGGGGGCCTTGTAACAGTGTGCCTGTCCCAGTGACGTATGTCCGGTTATTCCGCAGGTACCCGCATCACGTCAGTCCGGGTCCGCGGCGGCGGTACGGGTGACGTACTCGGTGGCCTCGATCCACGAGATGCCGTCAGCGGACATGTTCGAAGTGGATGCGGACGGACAGCTGGTCCTGGCCAAGAGTCTCGACCGGGAGGCCGTGGACAGGTGGGTCAAGCAGCTGCAGACTTCGGGTCCAGGGAATGGCGTTGTTGCAGCTTTGTGTGGCCTCGGCTCTTGCGCATGTTCTCACTGACTTGATAATATATGTTATCACATTTCGGTTCCTTGCTCTGTGCGATATCACCGGCGCATTAAACAGTACATTGCCCTATTGCCCGCAGTTTCACTCGACTTCGTTTTATGCGAGGCTGTACATAACTGGGACAATATCCATTCACAGTTAAAGTGTGTCACAAACTTCGTCGCCATTGTAGCTTTACGGCGCTTTCACCTGCCCGGAGTAAATGGTGTCGCCCGCCTCTCATCCTGTCCTGAAAGGAGGTCACTGCGGGGAAAGAAACCTTCCACCTCTGGTTTCCCAGACGCGCAGTGGTTAACACAGGCGCATTAATCATTACACCATCGGCACTCCCTTATTGTATGTGTAAACCGCGCTGCATTGCCGTGCCTGATGTTCTGTTCCGTTGCGTCAGGTACAACATCACGATCGCAGCTCAGACCGAGTCTCTGCCACCGCTGGTCGCCTACTCCCACCTGATGTTGTCTGTGATGGACGACAACGACAACGACCCCGTGTTTGACGCAGACGTGTACCGGGGGTACCGTCAGAGAGGGTCTGCCGGCCGGTACCAGAGCTCTGCAGGGTACGTCAGAGGTTGTACCGCGGTACCGTTAGAGGTAGTCTGCCGGCCGGTTACCAGGGCTTTGCAAGGTACATCAGACGTGTACCGCTGGTACCGTTAGAGAGGTCTGCCGGCCGGTACCATAACTCTGCAGGGTACGTCAGAGATGTACGGGGGTATTGTTAGAGAGGGTACCGTCTTTTACCAGGTTATCAGTTCTGTGTGGGGCTAGCTGTGTGCACCCCTCTCCATTGCATCAGTGTTGTGTGCCCGTGTGTGACCTGGCTGCGCCCGTCCCCAGTGTCGGCGGTCGACCCGGACGTGGGTGCTAACGGCCAGGTGCGCTACCAGCTGCACGCCGACTCTAGCCACCTGCACGCACTGCTGGCGGTGGACGAACGGTCTGGCTGGGTGACCACGCTGCGGCCGCTGGAACGCGAGACGACAGACACCTACCGGCTGACGGTGGTGGCCGCCGACGGAGGTAACTAGGGATACCGCACAATGCGGTCGGAACGCCACAGAGCATGCATGGAACGGGGGGTGCATTGCGGAGGCTGGTGGTGATCGTCAACTATACGATTCACTAGAGGGGGGACTTGTGAGGTTGGTTTGAGACCTGTGACCTGAGTAACCTGACCCGGTGTGCCCCGCCAGGGTCGCCTCGTCGCTCGGCCACGGCCAGTCTGGTGATCTCGGTGGCCGACGACAACGACTCGCCGCCCGTGTTCGCTCAGCAGCGGTACGCGGCCGTCGTTAATGAGGACGCCCTGCCGCGCACCTCCATCATGAGCCTGACGACCGATGACGCCGACCTGCTCTCGGCGCCCGTCCACTTCTACATCACCGACGGAGACCCCCACGCCCGCTTCGAGGTCAGAGCGCGCCCGCTCAGCGGTGTCAGTGGTGGTACAGGCGCCCAGTGGCGTGCTGGTGGCGTTACAGACCCCCCTCTGGCGTGTTAGTGGCATTACAGACCCCTCTGGCGTGTAGTGGTGGTGCATACCCCCCTCCGGCGTGTTAGTGGTGTTACAGACCCTCTCTGGCGTGTTAGTGGCGTTGCAGACTCCCTCTGGCGTGTTAGTGACGCTAGAGACCCGCTGCGGTGTGTTTGCCGCGTTATGGACACCTCACTGGCGTGTGCGCACCCTCTTTAAGCTGTGACTAACAGTGTTCAACAACTGCTCGCGTGGCAGTAAGACCCCGGCAACGTGTGGTCCTTGTGTTCTAATTGTGACGGGCTGCGCCTGGGTGATATGAAGCTCTCCGCTGGTATTGCACAAAAGCCCCTAGATTGTGACGAGCGGCGTCACCAGAGATGTGACTCTCCCCCACTGACGAACGTGCACGTGGTCCCCGGACTGTGACGAGCGACGTCACCGGAGGTTTGAAAGATGTGGCTCTCCCCCACTGACGAACATGTACATGGTCCCCAGATTGTGACGAGCGACGTTACCAGAGGTTTGAAAGATGTGGCCCTCCCTCACTGACGAACGTGCACATGGTCCCCAGATTGTGACGAGCGGCGCCAACAGCGGCGAGCTGTTCGTGTTAAACGCGTTGGACCGTGAGACCGTGCCCAGCTACGACCTGACGGTGACAGCCACCGACGGCTCTCTGGTGGCCACCACCCGGCTACACCTGGATGTGCTCGACGCCAACGGTCAGTCCCCGTCAGCGGTCGGATGTGCTGACAGCGCCTCTAAAGACACTTATCCCCGGCATAGGCTCCGTAAATATCACTGATCAAGATTGTGTTGGGTGTCTCGCATGGTAAACGTCACGTACCCAGAAGCTCTTTGAGCTTCATGTCTAATTGTGTAACTCAACGTGCGAAGCTGGTGGTTGATGCTTGCTCCGTTGTGTTTTTAACAAAATAGGGATCAAGCTGCAGAACAGTGTGCTGGCTGTGTGGCACCGTTATGAATGCCGTTATCCTAGTCTGGTCATGTCCGGTCACCATGTAATACAACGTGGCGGCACGTGACCACGCCGTGCGGTGTTGCAGACAACCCACCCGTGTGTGAGGAGGAGGAGTACGCGGTCACGCTGAGCGAGGCGGCCCCTCCCCACCACGTGCTGACCGTCCGGGCTCATGACCTGGACGACAGCAGGAACGGTCGGCTCCGGTACTACCTGACCGGCGGCGGCGCCGACGACTTCGCCATCGACCCGGCCCTAGGTCAGCTGACGGCCGAGCTGTTTCCAGTGACGTCATTTGTACCCGGACTGGTTGAAGGGATGGAGAAGTTGTAACTGTGGCTGTCGCTATGCGCGTTGAAGCGTCTTCTAAGTGCGTCTTGTCGTCGATGCCCTCTCACGCTTGGTTTGTCTCTTCACCATTGATACTGTCATGCCGGCCATCAGTTAATGTTCACATAAGGTATTATAGTGTGGCCCTACGTTATGACTGTCATCTGGTCTGACTGGCGTGCGTTCTGATGTCGCACCAGGCCGCCCTGACCTGACCTGACCTGACGCCTTGTGCCATGGCCAGGTCACGTGCGCGTGTCGGGCTCGCTGGACCGAGAGGCCCGGCCCGTCTACCGCCTGACGGCGCACGTGCAGGACCGCGGCCGCGCCGAGTGGGAGTGCACCAGCGTGCTGACGGTCACGCTGGAGGACGTCAACGACTGCGCGCCCAGCTTCGTCCTGCCCGTGCTGTCGCTGACGGTGCCCGAGGACACGGCCGTCGGCACCATCCTGGGACGGCTGGACGTCCGTGATGATGACCTGGGTCAGTACAAACGTAGACCACACCATCCTGGGACGGCTGGACGTCCTTGACGATGACCTGGGGTCAGTACATACACAGACCACACCATCATGGTATGGCTGGACTGTAGTCTCATGTTGTTCTTGTGTGTTTCGGTTCAGGCCGGCTGTACTTGGTTTGATACTAGCCTGTCCCCATGCACTCTGCTTGACTTTAATCAGGCAGACTACCCCGGGTGCTGTTCTCAGGCGTGTGTACCGATCTTGGCCACAGGCTGACTGTAGGTACTCGGTGTGCCGTTCTCAGGCGTGTGCACCGATCTTGGCCACAGCCTGACTGTAGAGACTGTGCCGTTCCCAGGCCTGTCGGCCGAACTGGAGTACAGTCTGGTGGAGGAGGACGACGACGACGCCCGGCTGCTGCTGGACCCGAGGACGGGCGTGCTGACTCTGGGACGGCCGCTGGACCGGGAACAGCAGGCCATGTTCAACATCAGCGTGCGAGCCACGGATGGCGGCACACCCCAGCTGTCCAGCACCGCCACAGTCATACTGTTGGTGCAGGGTACGTCTGCCTGTGCTGTGATCAGGGTTACATTCGCTGCACCGCAGCACCGCCACAGCCATTACTGCTGGTACAGGGTGCGTCTGCCTGTGTTGTGAGCTGGGTTACATTCGCCGCGGGGTGCAGGAAATGTCTTACAGTGTTGTGAGGTACGACTATTTTCGCATCTTTGTTTTAGCTATTGTTCGATATCAGATGATGTATGTATGTTACTATTTTTAGGCTTTTCGTCAAGGCCGACACTTGTTTGGACTGTTCGCAGACGTGAACGACAACGCGCCCGAGTTCACCAAAACGTTGTACCACGCGACAGCATTGGAAAACACCACTGTAGGGACAGAGGTTCTCAAACTTCTGGCCACCTCGAGGGACTCTGGTGTCAACGCCGAGATCAGCTACAGCATCATTGGCGGCAACGAACACAACATGTTCCAGATCAACCCGAAAACAGGTGCGTGCTTGTCAGCATTCTAGGTGCCTGTGTTGTACTTCAAGCGGGTATAGGAGTACATGACGACATCTGTGTGTGCGTTCCGACAGGTATTGTGTCACTGGTGTCCCAGCTGGACTTTGAGCGAGCCGGAGAGTACATGGTGACCCCTGTGTGTGTTCCGACAGGTATTGTGTCGGTGATGTCCGAGCTGGACTCTGAGCAAGCTGGGGAGTACATGGTGACCCCTGTGTGTGTTCCGACAGGTATTGTGTCACTGATGTCCCAGCTGGACTCTGAGCAAGCTGGGGAGTACATGGTGACCCCTGTGTGTGTTCCGACAGGTATTGTGTCGGTGAGGTCCCAGCTGGATTCTGAGCAAGCTGGGGAGTACATGGTGACCCCTGTGTGTGTTCCGACAGGTATTGTGTCGGTGATGTCCGAGCTGGACTTTGAGCGAGCCGGAGAGTACATGGTGACCCCTGTGTGTGTTCCGACAGGTATTGTGTCGGTGATGTCCGAGCTGGACTTTGAGCGAGCCGGAGAGTACATGGTGACCCCTGTGTGTGTTCCGACAGGTATTGTGTCGGTGATGTCCGAGCTGGACTTTGAGCGAGCCGGAGAGTACATGGTGACCCCTGTGTGTGTTCCGACAGGTATTGTGTCGGTGATGTCCGAGCTGGACTTTGAGCGAGCTGGAGAGTACATGGTGACCCCTGTGTGTGTTCCGACAGGTATTGTGTCGGTGATGTCCGAGCTGGACTTTGAGCGAGCCGGAGAGTACATGGTGACCCCTGTGTGTGTTCCGACAGGTGTTGTGTTGGTGAGGGTCCCAGCTGACTTTGAGCGAGCTGGGGAGTACGTGGTGACCCTTGTGTGTGTTCCGACAGGTATTGTGTCGGTGATGTCCGAGCTGGACTTTGAGCGAGCCGGAGAGTACATGGTGACGGTGGAGGCCCGGGACGGCGGCATTCCGCCGCTCAGCAACCACGCCACCGTCAACGTCACCGTGCTCGACTGCAACGACAACGCGCCGGTGTTCGGGCAGGAGGTGTACAGCGCCGTTATCCGCGAGGACGTGGCCACAGGAGAACGCCTCCTGCAGGTATGTGCACTGCTGGTGCCGCTGAAAATCTTGTGACGTCACAGAAATGTTTGCTGCCTGGAGCAGCTGGCTGTGAGGTGTACTAAGCATATGGGAGACGCTTATGAATATTTGTGTGTTCTGTTGAACGTGTGTTGCTGGATCTTTTTCAGTTCTGCTGGTTAGACATTTGCATGTGACCACCACAGTGTAGACCTGTCCGGAGGTGTTGACGTGGTCTGCCGGTGCAGTGTCGTGCCGGGTTACCGTATTCGTGCGCCCTGGCCGCTTGCCGGAGAAAATAGAGTAGCAGCCCCTCCAGACAACCGAGCCCGAAGTCACGTCATGAGCCATATTGTGAGCCTGCGCTTACCAGCCGAGAGCCCATACTGATATCTGCCCGACCTGCCCTGTTGGGACGGGTGGGGGAGCCGCGCTGGGAGAGCACTGTGCTGTGGCCGACACAGCGCAGCACGAGATGCGCCGGCTGTGACCTGACCGGCACGCCGCGTCGCCAGGTGCACGCGGCTGACCTGGACTCGGGCGCCAACGCTCGGGTGCGTTACGCGGTGACCGGCGGTGACCAGCACAGCCAGTTTGCCATGGACACCGACTCGGGCTACCTCTATGTCGCCACTCAGCTCGACAGAGAAATGGTGCGTAGGCTGGTGGTTTGGAGCCAAGGCAGTGAGGCCAATTTGAATTTTAATGTGTCTGAATTCGGCGGGGGCATTAATTGTGTTTGTCAGAATCACGAGACGCGTGCTTACCATAATCGCAAATGTGCTGTTGCACATAGGCAATTTGCTTTGGCACTGAATCAGGTGGTATGTGATGCAAAAACTGCAATGGCCAAGTCGATGACTGCGTCTGCAAAGATAAACCACGTCGCGCGATGGTTTTTGCTAGCTTAGAACGCGCCCTGAATGTGCTCATGGTAACACCTTGCTGCCGGCTTACGCCTTATTGTTTGGGCCAGGTGTCCAGCTACAGTCTGGAGGTGACGGCGACGGATGGCGGCGATCCCTCGCTCAGCTCCTCCGCCCAGATCAACGTCCACGTCAGCGACGCCAACGACAACCCGCCAGTCTTCTCCGAGACCGAGTACAGCGCCGTCGTGCAGGGTCGGCAACGCTTGGGTCACCCGCCGGCGCATGGCTGGGGAACGAACCAGAGTAGATTACCCCAAGTGGTTCAGGGTCAAAGCGAAAGACATTTGTGCGCAAACTGCTGTGATGTTCCCTGCTGTGCGTCTGGGGTCCCAACAGCCGGTCATAGGCCCGGCGTGTGTGCCGCGACCGGCCGCGGCTGTGATCCGTCCTCTGTTAACAGATAGTCGGAGTCGTCCGCCTTGCTCCTGTCATCAGTTGAAGCCACCTGGCTGGCTTGGGATGTCATTGGGTTACTTCAGGCTTAACTGCCGGCCACCAGCCACCATCGTTTTCTCAGTTGGCCTTTCCTACACTCTCCGCTGGAGATAAGCCGACCAGCCACGAGCTGCCATATTCCACCAGCTGACATCTTGTCTGAAGAGCTCCTCCCTTTCTCGCCGCAGGAGGACAAGCCTCCCGGCCACCCGCTGCTGTTGTTCTCTGTGACGGATGCTGATGAGGATCCGAACGCCGGTCCGTTCACGTTCGAGGTGGCCGAGGGCAACGGCGGCAACTGGTTTGTGATCACGGCCGGCGGCCAGCTGCGCACGGCCGCCAAGTTTGACCACCGGCTGCGCAACTCGTACAAGCTGCTGGTGCGCGTCTACGACAACGGTGATGACGTGCGCTTCTCCGAGACCTGGGTCGACGTCAAGGTCAGTCAAGGCAACATCAGGATTTTCTAATGCAGTGTTGGGGAGGATCTTTGTTTATGCACTGTTGGGCTTGAAGAATTACGTAGCAGATGTTCGTAACGCATTTGGCCATAGACGCACCATTTCTACAGCCATGTGCAACATCCTGAACCGTTCATGAGCTGGAATGCAAGGGGGTTTAGCCATTTTCCGACAAATGGTTGGCTATTCGTGTCATGTACGGCACATTATCGAGGAGCTGGACAGTGGTTTGCCACTGGCCTCATAGGCAACGGAGGGCTGTGACAATCTGCTGACCGTTGACGTGCTGCGTTGCAGATAATCGAGGAGCCGCAGTACCCGCCGGTGCTGATCCCGCTGCACGTGTCGATCCAGTCGTACCAGGACAGCTTCCCGGGCGCCGTGGTGGGTCGCGTGCACGCCTCTGACCAGGACCCGTACGACCGGCTGCAGTTCGGCCTGGTGGCCGGCCAGGCCGGCCTCGAGCGCCTGTTCGAGCTGGACCCGGACGACGGCTCGCTGGTGACGCTGGCCGGCATCGACGCCGGATTGTACCGGCTGAACGTGTCCGTGACGGACGGCAAGTTCACCAGCCACACGGCCGTGACGGTGGACGTGAGCGAAATCACGGACCAGATGGCGCGTCACCGCCGTCTCCGTGACGCTGGCCAGCCTCACGCCGCGAGCGTTCGTGCTGAGCTACATGAAGCCGTTCCGGCGTGCGCTGCGCAAGCAGCTGAAGGTGCGCGCTAAGGACGTGCTGATTCTGAGCGTGCAGCCGGCGGCGGCGGGCGGCCGGCGGCGCAGCCGGGCCGCCCGGCCGGCGGACCTGGCCGTGCTGCTGGCCGTGCGGCGCGGCCCGGCCTGGATGGAGGCGGCCGTGGTGCGGCGCCGGCTGCTGGCCGGCCGCGCCGCCGTCAGCCGCCTGCTGGCCGTGCCGCTGCTGGCCGTCGACGAGGACGGCTGCCAGGCGACGCCCTGCCTGCACGGCAACTGCAGCGACGTGGCCGTATTCGACGACGAGCTGGTGGTGAGCGTGGCCACGGACGTGGTCAGCTTCGTCTCGCCGCAGCACAGCCGCCAGCTCAGCTGCCAGTGCCACGTCGGCTTCGGAGGTCAGTCGGCTTGCTCGCGGCAGCACTGGTGTGCTCGCATGGCCAGCTCTGCTTAGCCGGCTGTAAGCTCAGCAGACGGATTTCGCACACGTTAGTTTCCAATCGCCGTACCGCTAGTTGTAGTGCATTGTGGTGCTGAATTTTTGTGGGAAATGTCAAATGTTGTAGAATATGTGCAGCGGTGTTATGTGTACACGATTAAGACAATGAGCACTCGCCTCTAGTTCGGGGTCGATTAGCTCTCTTGCCTGCCATGATCTTACAGATGACCTGACATTCCTCTCTCTGTGACCTCGGAACCCAGCCGGTGGGCTGTGTTCTGACCTGTGCTCTGGTGGCGGCAGGCGAGCTGTGCTCGGAGCTGGTGAACGAGTGCGGCCGCTCGCCGTGCGCCGAGTACCAGACATGCATACCGGACGCCTCAGCGGCGGGCTTCAGCTGCCGATGTCCGGAGGGTCGCACCGGCCCCCGCTGTGGCCTGCTCGCCTCCGAGTGCCGCCAGGGCCAGTGCTACACGCCGCGCGCGCCGTTCTCGCTGGACGGCGACGGGTACGCCGAGTACCGGCTGCTGGAGCCATCCGAGCGGCGCCTCACCCTGGAGCTGAGCCTGCGGACGCGGCAGCCGACCGGCACGCTCGTCTACTCGGCCGGCGGCGTCGAGTACAGCATCCTTGAGGTCAGCGTCTTGTCTGTGCTGATGGCAGCTGGGGACGCTGCACGAGATAGGGCACAGCACGTCAGGGGTAGCTGGTATAGCATGTTGTGAAGGTTCCGGTAGTGTAGTGGTTAACGCATCTGCGTTAACCGCTGCGGCGTCGGGAAAACCAGAGGTACGGGGTTCGATTCCCTGCGGTGCCCGCGGTTCCTGCCAGGGTGAGAGGCAGGCGACGCCATATAGCCTCAGCAGCTGAGTGCGTCGTAAAGCCCCAATGACACATACACACACATCGTGTTGTGCAGTCACCGCCGCGTTGTGGCCACGTGGAGAAGCTGACTCAAACATGGCCGAAGCTTTGTCATTTTGGCCGTGACACCCGTCTTGGCTCTGCAGATATTTGATAGTTGTTGTTCATTGTAAACAGCGGAAGTTTCATTGAACATTGTTTGACGTAATGTCGGTGTGATCTCCCTCCATTTGCGTGTTTGCATTTCTGCTGTGCGTTTATTTGGGTGCATGATTATGATATCGTGATGGGCCTTTTCGGATTTCAGATTGTGAACGGTCAGCTTCAGTACCGTTTCGACTGCGGCAGCGGCGAGGGGCGCGTCCTGGTACCGGACATGCAGTTCAACGATGACCGGTGGCACAACGTGGTTGTCAAGAGATTCGGCAACAGAGCCGAAGTGCTGGTGGATGGACGCTATGGTGCACAGGTGAGAAGCTCATTATTCCCGGGCTTTGAAAGATGCAGGCGGGCATACAGCGTGTTGTAAACCCGCCTTCTTAAAGACATCCTGCGGTGTCAATGATGACTATTGGTTGGGGCCGTCACTTCTCGCAGACTTGTGGCGCTGTATGCTGACATGTAACGTAGCGTTTCCGTTACCCGACACACCAGCGGCGGACTGTTTGTCTGATTGCGTGCCGTGGCTGGCAGGGCGCGGCGCCCGGCTTCTACGAGGTGCTGAGCGTGGCCAATGGACTGCTGTTCGTGGGCGCCGTCGTGCGGCCGGCCGGCTCGGACGGCTCGCGCGAGACGCAACGCGGCTTCGCCGGCTGTCTGGACAACCTTCAGCTGGACGGCCACCGGCTGCCGCTGCACGCGCGCGACAGCAGCCGCTCGGCGCGGCTGCAGCAGAACGGTGCGTCTGTCGGCCCGCTGCCGGGCCGAGCTGGCCGAGCCGGACGCCTGCGGCCACCAGCCCTGCCTGAAACGGCGGCCGCTGCGCGGCGAACCGCCGCCGCCGCCGGCGGCTTTAGCTGCGCATGCGCAGTCCGCTTCCTCGGCGAGCGGTGCGAACAGGACACGGACCCGTGCGCCTCGTCACCCTGCCTCCACGGCGGCGTGTGTACCAACGTGGCCGGTGACTACCGCTGCGACTGTCTGGTGCGTCTGTCGGGCCGGCGCTGCCAGTACGGCCTTGCACTGCAACCCCAACCCGTGCCGCAACGGCGGCGCCTGCGAGGAGGGGCGCGTTCGGACCGCTGTGCAAGTGTCGCGGTTTCACCGGGCCCCTGTGCACGGTCGACGTCAACGAGTGCCTGCAGAGTCCGTGCCGCAACGGCGCCACGTGCGAGAATGTGCCCGGCTCGTACCGCTGCCTGTGCGCGGCCAACTGGACGGCACGTACTGCGGCCTGACGGCGGCGGCGCCGGCCGCCCGGCTGCCCAGCACGCTCGAGCACATCGTCGGCATCGTGGCGTTCGTGCTGGCGCTGTTCCTGGTGGTGCTGCTGGTGGTGTGCTGGCGCCAGTCGCGGCGCAAGCGCAGCCGCACGCCGCGCCACCCGCTGGCCGGCAACCAGGACGCCTCGAACGAGATCCTGCTGCAGAACATCAAGCCAAAAAACCAGCGCGGCGAGTACAAGCGGATGTCCAAGGTGTCCAACTTGGAGGCCAACAGCTCGGTACGTGCGCTGTCACTAGGTGTCGACGAACATCGTTGCTCGATGTGAACACTTACGTGTCGCCGGTTCACAGCCAGGCATGCCATGTGCAGACTACTTTCACGTACCCGTGTTAACGACCAAGAGGCTTCAGGCACGTGAACACAGGAGAGTCAGGTGTCAAGATATTTTCTAGCTCGAGATGTACATCAGGTGAAATGTACGAAGGTTGCGTTCGTTACATACGCTGTTCAGGCTCGACCCCATGTCCATGTGGGCACCTGTTTTCATGTGTGTCCGGCAGGTGGCAGCGACTCTGCCGGTCCGTCCGGCGTCGTTCACCGGCGGAGCCAACAACCGGGCCTCCGAGCCGCAATACTCGACGCTCAACAACCTGGACACCATCCGCAGCTACGGGTCGGCAGCCGACGACCTGGACGGTCCACCACACAGCGCCTGCCAGTACTTGCAGGTCAGTTACACCTTCCCGGGCCTGGGCGATCCGCTGCACAGTGCCTGCCAGTACTTGCAGGTCAGTTAGACGTTCCCCAGACCTGGACGATCCACCGCACAGCGCCTGCCAATAGTTGCAGGTCACTCACCGCGCATATCTAGCGTCCTACTGTTGCGGTGAATGTTCCCCTAGTTTGACGCGTGACCTGTGACGACCTTCCTGTTTCTTGCGCACAGAACTTCAACAAGCCCACGGCGAGCGTGGCGCCCTCTATGGCGGCCACAGCCTCGGACATGAGCGCCACCAACACTCTGGAGAAGTCCTACCGGGACATAGACAAAAACATCAAGCCCTCCTACTACGACATGCACAAGATACAGAACGGTACGCGTCTCATGTCCTCCTTGTGTTTTTTTTCGCATTCGGCATTGGCGTCTGGTTGTAGTTCTCACGTTGTTGTTGCGAGAGCTGTCATTTTCTGCCAGCACGGGAAAGCCAAGCAATGGCAGTGCATTGTGTTTATAGCATTGGTCTGTGCACAGCGTCGTGTGCCCGGTGTGTTTCCACACAGATTTCTTTCGGGTGCCAGAGCTGGGTTGGGCGTGACGCGTGCCCCGCTGTCTGTGCAGACCTGACGGACCCGCAGCTGGCGGCGCTGAACAGGATCCAGCTGCCGCCGCTGGACAAGCCGCGCCGTGAGGGCGGCGCCACCGCCGTGCCGACGCCGGAGGTGCCAGGGTGGGACGCTCACGCACTCCGGATGGGACGCTCACGCCCTCTGGGTGGGACGCTCATGCCCTCCCGGTGGACAGTGGGATGCTCAACGCCCTCCCGGTGGGACGCCCACGCCCTCTCGGTGAGACGTTCATGCCCTCCTGGTGGACAGTTGGATGCTCACGTCCTCCCGATGGGACGTTCACGCCCTCTTGAGGGACGCTCACGTCCTCCCAATGGGACGTTCACGCCTTTCCGGTGGGACGCCCGTTCCCTCCCAGCGGCACGCTCACGCCCCGTCGGTAGGATACTCGCTCCTTCCCGGTGGGACGCTCACGTCCTCCCGGTGGGACGCTGACGCCCTCTCGGTGCTACGCTCACGCCCTCCCGGTGGGACACTCACGCCCTCTTGGTGGGACGCTCGCGCCCTCCTTGTGGGACGCTCGCGCCCTCCCGGTGGGACGTTCGTACTCATTCAGTAATCGCGGGTTAAGGCATAACAAGTGATTGCGGTGTGAGTACAGTACGCTTCTCGCAATTAAGCACGTTTTTCATGTGTTATAGAAATTATTAGTTGTTCACCACAGCCACGCATTCTCCCACTCGCCAATGTTCGCCAGTGTACGCCGCCGTTCCTTTCAGACTACCACTGGGACTGTTCGGACTGGGCCCGCACCAGTCAGAATCCCCTGCCGAACATCACCGAGGTCACCGGGTCAGAGGTCAAGGACACGTCCAGTTACCATAGTAACGAGAGCAACGAGAGCAACACGGCCGTCCGCGCCCCTGCTGGTGAGTGAGGTCGACTGTTATGGCGTCAGTAGCACAGCTGAGTGTGGCGGCCCTGGTGGCCAGCCGCGCCGTGTGG